TTTTAAATATCATTTCCTCTAGCAATAATGTAATTTATGTGTTTGTCAAACTGTGAAAAAGTTACATCATTTTCACAGTCGAGTCTCTCAAATGGTAGATTTGAGAGACTTGATTGATTTTTCTTTTCTTCTGTTTTTAGGAGCAGCCTTACAACAGACAATTCTACTAAATGCTGTGTCAATTTCTTGCTGTAATAAGATATCAATAATAGTTAAACCATCTAAAAATATTTAAACCTTGACAATAATATGTCTGAGTCACTTGTTATTTGTTCATATTAATAAATTCCACAACCAGTTTATGCTTTAGTATCAGGTTTTAATCATTAATGAACACAGAAGTATTTCAACAGGCACACTGCCTACTTGTGCCCAATATACACCTCCCTATAATTTATCCCAGTATTGGTGACATGTAAGATAACACCTGTTTTATATTTAATATAATATTTTTGTGGCGTGCCATTTGATTCCAGGTATAAAGTATGATGCAGAAAAGGAGGAGAAGCAGCTACAGGAGGCTCGTCAGAGGGAGCTCGATCGAATAGAGGAGACAAAACTCAAGGCTGCAGAACAAGGTCAGAGTTCAACTTCGACTCTTAAAGAGAGATGTGAGATAAGCAGCAGCATGCAGCTGCTTATCTCCTTAAGGCTACTACTTTTAATTAGAAATTTAGGCTACATGTTGTTTGAGCAGCATTTGTCTTGTGTTTTTACAGATGCTATAGATCATAATAGCAATTTACAGCTAATGTAACAAACCTCAGAATGTAAATCCTCGACTGCAAATATATACAAACCCAGTTCCAATGAAGTTGGGACGTTGTGTAAAGCACTCAAAAAAACAGAATACAATAATTAATAAATCCTTTTGTACCTATATACAATTTGTAGTTGATTTGAAGCAATAGTTTTGTAAAACCTTGGGAAACTTTGAGATTGGTAACTGGCCCGTTCCAGTGAAGAGGTTTTTGACGTCATTATTTTAGTTTCACCTGCCAGGTTGAAGGTAAAACCTGACAGAAAAAAAAATATTCAGAACAAATACTCAAAATTGTTTGTGTTTTCACAGAGAACACAAAGCTAGAGAAGCAGGACACCTTTGTGGAAAAGCTTGTCACACAAGTGATCAAAAACCTACAGGTCAAGATCTCCAACATCCATGTTCGCTATGAGGATGATGTGAGTATTTCAGCTAAATATTAGTAAAAATAACTTTAATTCTCTACAATGGCTTGCAGGGATGTTAATAACAATGTGTGTGTTTGTCTCCTCAGATCACTAATCCAAACTGCCCTTTGTCATTTGGAGTGTCGCTTAAAAACCTCAGCCTTCAAGTAATTTGTTATTTCTTTTGTTATAATATAATATAATATAATATAATATAATATAATATAATATAATATAATATATGCTTTTACAGACAGCTGATAATCACTGGAAACCCAGTTTGCTAGATGAACACTCCAAGCTTTTCTTCAAGGTAAGAAATTGTACTAAACTTTTTTCCGTCACGTTTAAACGTATATTTCTAGGAAGTGCTTCTTGTGTTGTTCTGCGTACTATTTGCTAACCTCTATAATTCCAACCAGTCAGTTTAGTTCTCAGAAACATTTTTTTATTTTATATTGGCTCTGGGCACGGGACCAAAGCTCTAGATGTCATCTCTATGCATCATCATCAGTGAACACGTCCGTCACTCCTCATGACTAAGTTGTTTGTATTTTGCCTGTCATCAGTTGGTTCAGTTGAACAACTTGTTTGCCTACTGGAATGTCAACTCGGTTCTCTTCTCCAATCACAGTCCAAATGAGGCCCTGGTGAGTCACTGGATTGTCTTTACCTGCTCGACTTTGCACAGTTGAAATGCCTTTTGCAAATGATATGAAAACCTTTTGTTTGATCTTTAGGAAAAGACTGATGTGAAACTAGGATGTAAAAAAAGAAATAAGAAATCACATTAATAGAGATGTTGTTTTCCGATTTTATAGCGATGTCTGCAGAACAGCATGGAGATCAAACCCTCTGTTCCTGTCAGCCATGACTTCAGTGAGTGAGCCACTGCCTCCTGTTTTGTAATATATTTACAGTTCATCTGATGAAACCTAGCAAAGTTATCTTTTGAGATTATTTCTTCAGTCTGCATCTGATATGTGGTACCACATATACCACAAACTCTAATGTACTGTGCTCAGATTTTATGTGATAGACTAGCACAGAACTGTAACCAAATATACTTTTCTAAAATTTGTGGTGATAACGTACCAAAATTTAAAAAAACTTTTAAGACAAATAAGCACTTTTGGAAAGCACTGTATGTGTATATAACAAACATTTAATCACTACCACTATATCCAGAGATTATAAGCAAATATCATAAACATTATTTTTGTGACTTTCCCTTCTACCCCTAGTATAAATTTTATAAATTGATTATTCTTGTAAAAGAGAAAAAGAGGAAATATATTCCATATGGTTAGAAATACATGCCCTTTATTTATACAACATCAACTGTGCTAAAAAAAATAAAAAAAAATAGTTTCCTTTTGCCGGTTTCCAGTCTTTCGTCCTATATCTGCAAATGCAAAACTGCGAATGAATCCAAGATCAGACGTGGATTTCTCTTCTCCTAAAGTGGACCTGATGGTCAACCTCAGCGAAGTGGCTATTGAACTCAACAAGCCTCAGGTTAGTCTCTATTCAGGCCAGGTCTGTTGAATTTGACTGGAAAATCCTAAGGCAAATAAAGACGTTTAAGGTAAACAACACTGGATGATGAGAGCGCTCTCTGCTGCTTTGTAATCACCGGCTTCCTGTCTTTCCAGTACATTAGCATTTTGGAGCTGCTGGGCTCAGTGGATATGATGTCACGAAATCTGCCATACAGGAAGTACAGACCCGAGGTCCACGTTCACAGAAATGCTCACATATGGTCAGAATACATCTGAGTGCTTTTTACCACCACTGCCTGCTGCACACCTACTTTTACTGACACAAATGCTTTTATGTTCCTGGATTTCAGGTGGAAATATGTGATCACAGGCATCTTGGAGGTGGATGTGAAGCCTCATCTCCACATGTGGTCCTGGCAACACATCCGGTGCCACCGGGAAACAGTGAAGTGTTACAGAGAGCTCTACAAGAAGAAGATCACCAGCAAAAAGCCCAGTGTGGAGCTGCTCGAAAAGCTGCAGGTGGGACAGGGATGAACTGCGTTTAAATTAGTTTTTAACTTCTAATGGGGGATTGCTTGAGGAAAAGTTCAAGCTTTGTCTTCGTAGAATAAAATGCACAGCTGAGTAATTTTTTGATTTTGATGTATAGTTGATGCTCATACATTCTTTTTTTTTTTTTTTGCTGAGTTGTTGCCTTAGTTTATCACAATTTATTTAAAAAATAACATTTGATTAATGCTTATTTATTGCAATAATTAGATTAAAAAGAGTTTTAATTATGATGCTTTTCGTTATGCCCAGGCTACACAGAAATCTTTAGATATTTTCAACATCACATTGGCGAGACAACAAGCTGAAGTGGAGGTAAGAACCTGGTTTTTTTTTTATATTTGTCATTTTCTGACAGGTACAATCTGTATCTATTCTGGAATTTCCATTAATTCATTGCAGCTGTGATCATCTGCTTTATAAAACTTCCTTAGACTCTAAAATTAGAGAAATATTTTCCGGTCGTGTGAGACACTTGATGCAACTCCCTCTTGTTGACATGTGTAGATTTTCTCACATGCACTCATCAGGCATAACATCATGACCAGCAAACAGCTCCTACTGTTTGCTTCAGTAGGAGCAAACAGAAATTGGCTCTGTTTGCTCCTACTGAAGAGCAATGTTACATAGACTATAAATTTGGTTTTGTTTCAGAGTTTTATTATGCTTTTTCCGCAGGCGAGCAAAGCAGGACTGCGCATTTATCGTCCAGGGAAACAGATGGAGGAGGAGGAGTCTCAGGGTTGGTTTAGCTGGATGTGGAATTGGGGAGGAGAAGCTGAGGCACAGACCAAGGAGGTCAAGACTGGAAGTAAGTCTCAAAACCAAACATTGAGTAGGGCACTGGAGGGGAGCAGAAGTTGAAGTTAGAAGCCTGGCAAAAGTGTCGGATATATAATTTTGTCTGTAAGGATTTTTTTTTTAATGCCACTGCCTTCTTACATTTTGTCTCTCTCATTTTCTTTGTGTCAGCATTTGATGGGTTGTTTACTGTGGATGAGAAAGCCAAACTTTACACTGCCATCGGATACAGTGAAACTGCAGCAAACCCCAACCTGCCAAAGAACGTGAGTCACTTCCCTCTGAAATCACCTCACTTGTTTGTGATGGTTGGGCTTTTTCAGAAGAATATCAAAACTACCTTAGAGAGCTAAGTGTGTTAGCAGCCCTTTTAAAACAGTTGTCAAATTCAACTTCTTTTGAAAGAAAATTCAAATAGTTGTAAAATAATGCTATAAGCATCTGTGTATGTTAAGATGAAGACAGACTCGGCATGTAACATCTAAACATGTTACATCTGTTTCTCAAATTCTCTCAAATTACATTTAAATTCTCTCAAGTTAAATTTAAAGCTCTAAAAATGAACATTACAATGGGACATTCAACCAGTAACATGTGATTGTTTATTTTCTATTCACCTTTTAGAGTAAATATTAGTTTTTGTACAGTCTTTATTCAGCCTGAATGCCACTTGGTTATTGTCGAATTTAATATTTTTACCATTAACATAAACACCAGAGAAGAAACACTCTTCTAAACTAGCACAATCATTTTAGTTAAACGTTAATCAAGCGACCGCAGTTAAAACTGGAGCAGCTGGAGACTGACAGAAACGTGTGCATCCTTGATAAAAATCTTAACTGTTATGTCATTGCTTTTAGTTTGAGGACATGAAGGTCAATTTCCACATGGAAAAACTGTCTGTGTCCATCAAAGACGAGAAGGACAAAAACGAAATCATCAAACTGACTGTGGGGGAGCTCAAGTCCACACTCACACAGAGACCCGGAGCACAAGCCATTAAGTAAGTGAAAGCTTTTATTTTGTTCTCATTTGTATTCGTTCTACTTCAAATTATCTTTCTGTGATTTTAATTTATCTGAAAGCCTGATCAGATTGTTTTTCTGTTGGACCTTTTTTATTAGAGTCACAGCCCAGCTTAGTTTGTTTGAGGTCACTGGTCTGGCCGCTAAGCGTCCGGCACCGACCCTCCTTTCATCAAGAAAGGCGGCCACAGGAGCAGGAACCCCGCTGCTTTGCTTCCTGTTTGAGACCAACCCGCTGGATGACAGCGCCAACCAGAGGCTCCATGTTGAGTCACAACCACTGGAGATCATCTATGATGCAGTGAGTGATGCTTTCCAGACTGCTGGTGTGTGTGTGTGTGTGTGTGTGTGTGTGTGTGTGTGTGTGTGTGTGTGTGTGTGTGTGTGTGCGTGTGCGTGCAACATCATTACCGTCACCTATGGTTTTTCCCATGCTGTTACGTCTTATCCGGAAATGTGAATTAATTTTATGTGACACACCAGCATAAAGCAATGCATAATTATGAAGTGGAATCATAACGATTGATACTCCTGACTAAACACTTTGTAGGTTCACCTATTGCTGCAATTACAGTTGCAAGTGTTTTTGAGTATGTTTCTACCGGTTTTGCATGCAGATGGATAGATAGCACATGTCCACAAAAATTTTGAAGTCTTACCACGTATTCTCAAATTGATTTATTTCAGACCTTTGACTAGGCCAGTCTTGTTTTCTTCCTTAATACTTCTTTAGGGACTTCCCTATATTTAGTTACCCTCATAATTTTGATATTGACCAGCTTGTTTGTTTCTGTTGAAGAACAACAACAGCAGCATGATCCTGTTCAGGAAGATGCACTATGTTGGTTTTCTGCATGGCACAACTTTTTGCATTATGGCTTTTTTTTTTCAAGAGAAAGAAGATGGAGCATAGCGCTTTGCTTCTGACCTGTCTGCTTTGTTCCTTGCTCTTCAGGATCCTGGTTGTTCACAAACTGTATCAAAAGGCCCTTTGTTACTTTCACAGACCAACTGTATTGAAGAGATTTGATTGTATAGTGGTGCAGTCATTTCTAAAGGAATTGGGTTCTCTAGATTTCATTTAGGAATTTAAAGAGTAAAAAGGCCCAAATGCAGATTTTTGCTGCACTTCATATTTTTATTTATAAGCCATTTTCATTAGCCATGGATCCTTTGCCGTCCACTTTGAGATTATCTGCTGCCTTGTGCTGATGTATCACAGAAAATCCTAAATACTCAACATTGAAGCCAGTCATTTTATTGTGAGAACATGTGGAACAGTTCAAGCTGTATTCAAACCTTCGTCAGGTAGTGTAATAAGTCTGTTTATTAAGTGTTTTTGGTCTTTTTATGTAGATAACGGTGAACAACATGTCAGAGTTCTTCAGGCCTCCAGATGACCTGCAGCTGGATGAGCTCACCAACGCCACCCTGATGAAACTGGAGCAGTTCAGAGACCGCACTGCCACTGGTGAGTCGCACATATATTCACAAATATATGGGAATAGTCTGATCCCAGCTCTCTGATGGTTGCATGTTTTCATTCCTTTTTTTCAGCTGAATTTTGTGTTTGTGGTGTCTACAGACACTAAGCATGTCTAAGCATTGAACAAACTCAGCATTCAGATGATATGATTCCTGTTTATTTTCTTTACAATGCTATCTTATGGCTGTTGCAAGTTATTGTTTTCTTTTTTCATCCAATCATTTCTTCAGTCTTTATGTTCTTCATTTAGTTATCACATCATCACTCTGATTCATCCTTCAATCCTGCTTTCTTTACTTCCTTGCTCAGTCCTTCAGTTTTTCTTTTCTACCTTCAACCCTTCCCTATTTTATTCAACACTTACATCCATCAGCCAAGCATTCTGTCCTTCTTTCTTTCCTTCTATCCTACATTCCTTTCCTTCATTAAGTCTGTTCTTTTTTCCTTCCATAAAACTGTACATCATCTTACACCCCCTTGATTTGGGGGAGTAAGATGATGTAGACTAACTGAGGTAGTTTAACATTAGTTAGTTTAGTTAATGTTAGTTTAGTTAAAAACTAACTCAGTTTAACATTAAACTAACCAAATAAACAAATATATCATTCTTTCTTTTCCATTCCTCTTACATAAGAGTAATACAAAACCTCATTGTGTTGAGTCATGTAAATATTTCCAAGTACAGGACACTGAATACTAAATTTGTTCTGTCATTTTTAATAAAATCCATCTTTCCTTCCTTCTAGTTATCCATAACATTTTTTTCATAGTAATAAAAAAAGCAGTATGAATCAAAACTACCTTTACATTATTTTTAAACTCTTTAAGCTTTGAGCAGTGAGTAATGAACTGATTGTTTCATCGTTTAGGTTTACTGTACGTGATCGAAACTCAGAAAGTTCTCGACCTGAAGGTGAACTTGATGGCCTCCTACGTCATCATTCCACAGACCGGCTTTTACGAAGGAACCCAGAACATTATGCTTTTGGATCTTGGTCATTTCAGGGTCAGAAGATGTCAAAAAAAAAAAAAATAAATAAATAAATCTAAAGCTGAGTAAATGTGACTGAAAGAGCAGATTTGAACTTCCTCTTCTATGGCTTTTAGATGTCCAGTTTGAGCAAGAAGGATCTGCCGCAGCTGTCAGTGGGTTCCAGCAAAATTGAAGACATCATGTCCAGAGCGTACGACCACTTCGATGTTCAGCTCAGCAGCCTGCAGCTGCTTTACAGCAAACCAGGTACTCACAGCAGAAACAAGTAAATCCTTCATTTCGTCACCATTCGTCATCTTCCAGTCACATACATCAGGATATACCAACATTTTAATAAGTTACCATTTTAAAACGTTTTACATTTACCCTTTAAAAGTTCCTACACTTGAAAGTCCTTTTACATAAGGTATCAGAGAATGTGCCAGTGGATTCAGAATCTCCCCCATCTGTTTCTGTGCTCCGCCACTATCTTGGCTTAAATGAGGTTACATACATTAACTTGACTATTTGGAAGGAAAAGATACAGATAATGATAAAGTCCAAACCCAGCTGCCTGTAGCATCCAAAGAGCCCCAAATGCCATGTGAGTGTTTGTTTCTGCAGACATGCAGCTGTACACCTGTACTGTCTGATAAAAGACCAGCTAGTTCCAGGGTTTACAGTGTGCAAATGTCAAACCTAAGTTCTGTAGTGCATTATAGGAAAGTATGCACACTGTGTTGTCTATGTTTATTAACGCTGGTCCCTCAAGACCCATTGTATATTTGTAAAATCGAATTTTGGTCACAGAGTTGAAAATAAAATGTTTTTAAATATTTAATAGAGTAAAGAGACATATGTAGATGTTTTTATCTTTCATAAAACACACCAGACATGTTCAAAACAGTGACTTTAAAATCTTAAGGGGTGTATGTTACACCACTGCTTAAAAATATTTTTAGTTCTGAAAAACATGTAAAGCCATGACGTGGAAACACACAGTCACTCTTCTTAATCAGTGAATATCAGCTTTTTCTCTTACCCTACAAAACCAGAACAGCTTACTATACATAGCATATGTGTTGAATCAGGAGAAAAATAAAGAGGCTGTGATTATCTGCAGATGGTGACTGGAAAATAGCTCGCAAACAGAAACGGTCTCCACTCCACATTCTGGAGCCTGTGGATATGAAAGTGGTTGTCAGCAGAGCCATGGTTGTGACCGACACACGTATGGCAAAGTAAGTGTGCAGTTCTCTTCGCTATACAGTAAAGAGGTGAGCTGTTTGTTGTGTACTCACAGATGATAAGATTATATTTAAACCCGGCAGCAGGAAACAGTGCAGAATTACAAGATTGGAGGAAAATAAAATATATTTTATGTATTGCTAAATATGCTTTGTCAACCACACTGTCAGTCTGGCTGCAGGTTTTGTCATTTTGTTACAATTCTTGTGTTTTAGGTATAAAATGTCTGGTGAACTCCCGCTGTTGTCGCTTCGAATTTCTGACAACAAACTCCGAAGTGTTCTGGAGCTGGTGGACAGCATCCCACTGCCTGAGAGCAGACCTGCAGCCCGCAGCACCGCTTCATCTACAAGGGTAAGAGCAAATCAGCTACCTGGGGGGAACACTAACTCTTTTGGGAAAGTCTTTGCTGTCATTTTTTAATAACTAGCCTGTTATTGAGATGAGCCCTATCGATTTTTTTATGCGTTTGCTTCCTCAGCCGAAGCAGTCGTTCACTCCTCAGCTCGCTGCGAGAAAACACCTGAGTTTAGTCGACCAGCGTTCCTCGATCATTTTTGAGTCTTGTGAGACCATCAGCATCGCCTCTCTGGGTGAGACACAGCAGGAAACTCCTGAACAATTAGCAACATTATACTCTGACGCAACAAGTTACTCTAGCAGATTTCACTTCACATGAAAAAAAAAAAAAAAAAAAAAATCTGAAATCCCAGCTTACATTACCATCTGCATATAAAGGTGAACTTCTTCCACACTATGTAAAAAAAAAAAAATAATGTAACTGACTAATGTAGTTTTCTTTTTTTTTTGTAAATCTGATAGGGTCACAGGAAGATTTGTTCTATGACGCCCCCAGCTCTCCGATTGGAGACAAGGCGTTCTTCCCGGACAATCCCATGCCGCTGCGCTACGCCGATTTAAGCAAAAGAACGAATCTCATCAAAGAAGATCCTCAGAAGAACATGACTGACTTCATTATGAGATTCGAGATCAATGAGGTAAAAACGATTTTGCAAAACCATTAGGTAATTTGAGGTTTTTGCTACAGAGAAGTTTTATAATAATTGACATTCAACACTGGTAAAAAGCAGGTGCATGATTAGAACATTCTTAAATTAATGTGAACTGCTAGGTAACGCCTTATATAGTAAATCTGCAAAACAATTTTTCCATTACTTTCTCCTGTACCAGTAATCTTGCATGCTTATAGTGAATATTTATTCTTGAACGTCGCCCTGGCTTTGTAAGACACCTTTTAAAGGTTGGTGTTATTTGTGTAACATATGTCTTCTTTGTCCTCTCATTTGTTCTTCCATGTTTCAGTTGTCTGTTCAGCTCTGTCGTCTGTCTGGAGCTCAGGAGATCGTCGTTCTCCAACTGGACATTGAGGGTCTGGGCACTGAGCTGACGCTGCGCACCTTCGACATGATGTCAAACACCTTCCTGCGCGAGATCTGCCTGAAGTGTCCCGAATACATGGGTCAGTAAATGATTCACTCAACTTTATGTCAAAACTAACAACTAGATATTAGTTATAGTGTTATCTGATGCTTTGTTTCAATCCTCTGTGTAGATTCTGAAGATAAGCAAGTCCAGCTGATCACCACCTTAGACAACTCAGAAGTTGACCTTCTCACCTTGGAGTATATCAAAGTACTTTGTTCCACTCACATTAAAGCAGAATAAATTCAGTTGAAGCCAGATGTTTACATACACGGTATACAGAGACTCAACCTTTTCTTTTTAGTGTCTGAATTTAAATTGGACTAAACTTTTCTGTCAAACAAATTTCCAGCCTGCTGAGTAGGACGTTTGTGGAGGGAAAACCAAAACATGTTACCAAAGTCATACAGCTTACAAAACAAATTTTACCAAATATTAAGGATCCTGTACGTTGACATCTGAATAAAAACAAGTACATTTCAAAATCTATTTACCAAATAAATTTAATTGTCGTAGTCACAAATGAGACTGGAAAAGTTTAGTCTGATTTAGTAATTTAAAAAAAAAATTGTGTCCTATTATACAGTGTGTGCAACATCTGTTTTCAATTGTATGTTCAAAACAGTAATAAACAATATTGTTATTAATTGTGTCTTCCTTCTAGGCGGATAAAAATGGTCCTGAGTTTAAGTCTCAGCATAACAACACAGAGCAACTCATTAAGGTGAGAAATAAATAGAAGACAAACATTTGTTTTTCAAATGTTATACAGTAAATATGTTCAAAATGCTCAGTTATGAACTCAAGTTTTGATGCACTTTCATTAAACAGCTAAATGTAAACATTGACCATAAAAGTTAATTTTGACACCCATCAGAAATGAAAAGAATTGCAAGATTATCTCATCATCTGAAGTGACATAATTTTATACAATTATCACATAGTTCATCTGATCTGCACCAAAGCCAAAAATAAAGAGCAATGAGAACATGGTGCTCATTAACCTGCTTAAAAACTGGCACTTTTTGGTTTGATCCATTTAATGAACAGGGAAAAAAAAGGATTTTCATCAGTATTTGATCTGTTGATCGTTAAATTAAAACTGGTTGATTGATTGGTGTATGTCTAATTTTTGAGCATAAATTGTCCCCTTATTACAGAGTTTGTCATTTTATCAAAATTCTTGACTAAAACTGTCTCCTTGTCAGGTGACGTTTTCGTCTTTGGACGTTCATCTGCACACGGAGGCTCTCCTCAACACCATGAGCTTCCTCGGTAACCTCCTTCCTCCATCCAGTAAGAAGGAAGGAGGGCCAGAGGAGCTGCCCACCATCCCAGAGGAAGAGGAGGCTGAGGCAGGGAAAGAGGAGGAGAAGAAGGGGGAAACAGCTGTAACCAAGAAAAGAAGTATGTACTTTTACACATTGTAATGTGAAAAAAATATAGAAAAAAATATTGCTGAAAAAAAATATTGCTGAATATCTTTCATATGCTGTATTGAAAGTATCGCCAAGTGTTGTTTGTTTCATTTTAGTGTTCAGGCTTCCCTCTGTAATCCCTCGATCTTCTTTTTTCAGCCTCTAGAAGCTCAAAGTTTGCAGACGTGGTGAATCTTCGCGTGAGAGCCGATCTGCGCTGCTTGAAGGTGTTCATTCGGGGACAGAAAGCTCGGATATCAGAGATAAGTATTGAAGGTATGTGAGAAATTGCATTACACAGTAGTACTCCAGATGCCTTCCTTAAATCCAAATGCCTTCCTTAAATTTGTTTTATTGTATTAGATGACGAGAAATCCTCTTTAGGTACAGATTTTTTATTTTTGTTTTCTTTTTATTAATTTACTACAAGTTTTCTGTTGACTCAGCTAGCTTAGCTTTCTTAATATCTTCTGGTTTTGCTTTTGCAAATAAATTGTTCTCAGTGTGTCATTGTCTTGACTCCTCAGGTCTGGTTACTGATGTCATGATGAGGAAGAAGAACATGGAGATCCTAGCCAACCTAAAGAGCATTGTGATCCTGGACTGCAACAAGGATGCCTTGTACAAGAAGGTACATGCTGTAGTTGACTTTTCTGGCATTTTTATTTCTGTATTGCTCTTATAGAGAAGCATGAACATAAATCTCTCAGGATATTTTAAATTATTATGGTAAACAGGCGTAATTTGAGATTACACCTGTTTTAACCTGAGATTACACAGGGCCTAAATTCTGTCACCAGCTCATTTCTCTCCATAGCTGTACTGTCAGGCCGACTGAATTGCAAATTTTTCAGTTCACTTCTTCTTATACATCTACTTTGTCCCCTGTAGGTCACTGATTACTTACAGTTTCCTTCTATACAGTTTTATGTAAATCTTTTCTGTTATATTTCCCTTCGTTTCAGGCTGTCTCTATTGCAGATAAGCAAGTTTTTGCCTTCAGGATGTTGAACCACACAGGGGCAACAGAAGGAGACGCCTACCTCGACATGTCCAAAGTTGACACGTCTGTCACACTGGAAGTCGGCTGCATTGAGGTCATTTTCCTCAACAAGTTTGTCTCCTCCATTCTGGTAAGGATCACTTCACTCTGAACTGATCTTGGGTTCGACTAGAGCATCATTACTGGATTTAAAGTTACTCTCCACTTATTCTTCCTTTCAGGTATTCATTAATAATTTCCAGGAGGCGAAAGAAGCCCTCGCTGAGGTGACGGTTCAGGCTGCAGAAAAGGCAGCCTCTGGTGTGAAGGGGCTGGCAGAGAGAAGCACTCGAATCGCTCTCGACGTCCACTTCAACGCGCCTGTGATTTTCCTCCCCCAGTCTTCCTCCTCTTCAAACGTCATCGTTGCCGATCTTGGCTTCTTGTCCGTAAATAACCGCTTCATCAAGCAGCCGTTTAAGGGCGACGCTGCAATCCCGCCGGTTGTGGATAAAATGACCGTGAAACTGACTGACCTCAAGATGTACAGGTCTGAGCCGAAAGTGTGACTGCCCACAGATGGAGTTTACACACATCCGGTATTTTTTATTCATCATTTTAAAGAACTGTTGTGATGCTTTTGCTTTCAGAACCACTTATAAAAATGGGAAATTCGAAGGCGAGACTCAGCTGCTGAAGCCGGTCAGCCTGGACCTGGAAATCCAACGAAATCTTTCGGCCAATTGGTACCACAGCATCCCTGATGTAGAGATCACTGCTCATCTAAAGCCTATGAGTGTAAGCATCAAATAATAATTGATCAGAAATTAATTACTCATAATTCAGTATATTCACACAGGGTGAATATACTTTATTTCAGAAGTTACCGTCAGTTTCAAGCTTACGTTGAAAAATATGAATTATTAAAATGTTTTCTGTTTGATTATGTTCCATGTTTGCTCCTGACAGCTGATCCTCTGCCAGGATGACATGATTGTTGTCCTGAGGACTTTGAGCGAGAATCTGTCAGAGAAGTCCGAAGCTGTTCAGCCTCCAGCTGTTCTGCCCACGCCGGACCACTCCTCTGATTCTGTGTCCAACAAAGAGTCCCAGGGCTCAGGAACCACCGGACCTACCAGCTGTAAGATTATGCCATTGTTTCTGAAAGTGTAACAGTTTAAAAAATATCTGCTTACTTGAGTTATAAGTCCCTAAAAACAGGCAAGTGCAGTACACGTCGTTAAGAATGCTGTGTCGTGTGTAAATAAATAAACTTGATTTGAAATTTTAACATTATGAGCATTTGTACGATCGGTTGGGTAGGTTATTGTCACCATCATAAGATCCCCTGATAGATTCTGAAATCTGAGAGGGTGAATATTATTTTCTGTTCACCGTTTTAACCCGTTGCGATATTTACGTTACAGCAGGCAACACGGTGGTGATAGCTGCTGTGGTCGAGACCCAGAAACACAGCAAGCTCAAGACGACGCTCAAGCTGAGCTTCAAGTTCGACTCCATGACGCTGGTTCTGTTCACCCCTAATGAGAATGTGGTATGTAGACACTGATACACACATGAAAACAATTACATCTGATTACAGTTTGGACGTCCTTGATTTACAGACTGGATAAAGATTGAATTTTTGAGATTCAGATGGGTCAGTCACTGGTTCAGGTTGATCAAACTGAAAATGATCTGGTGCAGATTCCTTTGTGCATCTCTAATAAATTCTCTATTTATCTCTCTTGTAACTTAATGTGAACCAAGATCCCAATTTAAACAACATACTTTGATTTGTTTTATAGATACAACACTTAGACTGCCATGATGAACAGCTGAAGTTGGCAGAGTTTACTCTGGGTACCATCTCCACTTCTGTCCACATGTTCTCTGACAGCTCCATGAAGGCATCGGTTCGACTCTCTACGTGCCTCCTAGATGACAAGAGACCAAGAATCAAGATGGTTACCTCAAGGTTTGAGAAAATAAACTGAGCTATTTTATTGCCAGTTAGTGTCTTAATCTGTAATTATGTTATTATAACGTTATCTAAAGAATAACAATAAATAGGATGGAGAAACTAGTGAACTGTAATTACCATAAAGACTTAAAAAAACTGAAGCCATTTTTTCTTCATTGAGCTCCTCTAATCACAGTAACTTGTGGAAACCCAAACCACATGTCTTATGTCGTCCTCCAGGATGATGGAACTGCGGCCCGGTGCCGAGCAGAACATGATGGTGGAGGTGAACTACCGACAGGGGCTTGATGGTACCAACATAGACACAATGGTACAGAATGTGTACCTGTGTGCCAGCATGGAGTTCCTGCTCACAGTGGCGGATATTTTTCTCAAAGCCACCAAGCAGGGTTTTGCTCAGGGGCCACAAGCCAAAAGCAGTACTGGTGGTGGAGAAAAGAAGAACATTAATTCCTCCGTCACGTCGAAAGACTCGGGTGAGTTGATCTGTTAAAACAATTTCAGTGTTATTCTGACGTATAACCAGTATTTATTAGTGATTTCTGTCAGTTTGGTCTGTCATCAACTATGGTTTTTTTTTTTTTTTTTTTGCCAATTCTGATTTCTGTTACCACGCACTAGAGCTGCAGATTATATCAATGATATTCATCATCATACAAGTGTGTGCAACTTCGCAATTACAGGATGCAATATTTGGTAGATCATAACACTTTATGGACCGGGGAATTAAAACTCTGCCAGTCAATCATACAGCTGGCCTGTTGGATGGACTTCTGCTTTCATGCACAAGTTTTATGCATCTCTGTGTCTTGACAGGGTGTCGATGTATCTTGCATAAAAAGTCAGAAAGTGATGCATCCAAAATTAAGACCTTGAAATGTCTTAAATTAAAAAAAATATAAGTTGGGCTTAAATCACAGGTCTTAAATTTTGTCCTAGCTGGACTATTTAATCTTATCGGGTTTTTTTTTGTTTTTTCTTTTGTTTGTTTGTTTTCTCTTGCGGGTCTTTTCTGTCTGGCAAAAGTTTTTGTTTATTGCGTTACCCAAATCATCCCCCCATAGTTTTTCAGTATAAAATTTCATTTAAGCTAAAATTTAAGACTAAAGTCTTAAATCTTACTTGCTGGAACCTTGAGACGAGGTCGGGTCATCATCTCTTTAGCTGAACTGCTCATTCTTTCTGACTGACTTACTTCTCTGACCTGCCCCTTTCCTTTCTTGTCATTCGTTTCTTCTTTATGTCTTTCTCTCCATATTGTGCTCCTCTCTTTTTCTTTGCCTGCTGTAGAAACATTTGGCATAAATTCAGAGTAAAGATTTTTATTTTTCCATCCAGTGCCTGTAAAGCACTTGAGAAGTAGAGAGAATTGAGACTAGAAAAATATAAAATTTTTATATGTATGTGTTGGAATCCTTTATATGATACTTCTATAAGTTCCTCAGTTTGTTTTGAAGATATTTAAAGTAATTCTCCACCCTTGATTTAGCCAGTGTTGTATTGCTGCTCTTTGTTGCTCTCCGGTACAGCTGCAGGTCCGGTGTCAAAGATGGAGATGACCGTTGTCGTGCGCAACCCAGAGATCGTGTTTGTTGCCGACCTGACGCGCGCCGACGCCCCCGCCCTGGTGATGACCACATATTGTGAAGTGTTGATGATAAGTGGAGCAGAGTCAACAATGACCGCCTCCATCAAAGATCTAAAGGTTTATACATTTCCTATGAATCCATTCATATTCAGATTACAAATAAATAACTTTAGTATTTATGTGTGTTCAGGTTGTGGCATGCCCCTTCTTAAGAGAGATTAGGAAGAACAATCTGACCACCGTCCTCCAGCCGTGTCAGGTTCACTATCGGAGTTCTCAGCCTGCAGCAGGTCCTCAGGCTATGGAAGTTGAGATTAATGCTCTCTCTCTAAAGGTGCGTATTTCATTTGCAGTGTCACAAACTGTTTTTTTTTTTTTTTCCCCTCAAATCAAAATCATAAAAGTTTCTACTTTCTTCAAACATTTTCCTCATTTCAAAAGTACAGTCTTTTGAAATATCTCTGTACTTGGTGAGAATATGTCTTGTTTCACATCCACTTTCCTAGTATTATAAAGCTAAACACTGTTTTTTTTTTTTTTTTTTTACATTTTACATGAAATAATAAAACCCCTTGAAGTTATTTTAATGCCTTTATTCTCTCCAGTAAACAGAAATATTGAATCAGTTTTTATTCTTCTTATTGTGTAATAATTGTCTTCCCAGGTATCTCCTGTCATCATCAACACTGTGATCACCATCCAGTCAGCGCTGACGCCGCAGGCTGAGACTCCTGAGGAGCAGGAGAGTCCCGTTCCCGTGAACCTGTGGGAGAAACGACACTGGAAGGAGCTCAAGCTTTGGTTCTTGGAAGAGGAGGGGGATGAAGACACAAAGTCTCTAACGCCACTCATTCCACAGGGAGAGTCCTTAAAGGTATTTATGACTTGCATTACTAAGCTTATTTGATTTTTATAAGACTATTTTATTAATCTCTCTCCTGAGATCTTGATCTGTTAAAACATTTGGCTATTTTTGGATGATTTTTGTTGTTGTTGTTGCTTTAAACACAAAATAAATATGCAAAGTTGGAGCTGAATGCTGTATTACCATCTTTGTGTTTGCAGTTGACCATAGGTTCAATCTGTGTGACTCTGGAAGCTGGAGTGGGACACCTCACCATCCCAATGCTTCTCGCCAAGTCCTCCTTTCACGGAGATGTGAAAAACTGGTCCACACTCATTAACCTCCACAGCAAGCTCACCCTGGAGGTAAAATAAGGGAAATAAAACTATTTCTCTGCGATAAATACTCATCTAAAACTTTCTGAAAGTTTTTGTTGTGTTTTTAGGTTCACTATTACAATGAGATGCTCGGCGTCTGGGAGCCGCTGTTGGAGCCCTTGGAGGATGAGACAAACGAACGCTTCAAATCTTGGACTCTAAACCTGAAGGTAGCGGGAACAATCCAGTCAAAGTAAATCCACATATACACACATACTGTGCCGTACAGTTACAGTTAAATGTTTTGCTACCAGATGAAGAAGAAGCCAGTGAATAGCCCTACTTTGTCAGATGAAGTGGATTACAACATTCCAGACTATAGGACAGTAACTACCATCAGCAGTAAAGACCAGCTTAACATCACGCTCTCCAAGTGTGGACTCACCATGCTGAACAACCTGGGCACAGTAAGAGAAGCAGAGAAAGGCTTCCATCATTGTCGCCTGCTTACGCTTGTGTTGTGATCCCTTATCTGATTCATTTTTTAGGCCTTTGCAGAAGCTGCCAAGCAGACTGCAGAGTGTTTTCAAAAGGATGAAGCTCCCTTTGTGGTGAAAAACAGGCTGGGTCTTTCTGTGTCTGTGCGGCACAGTCAGATGTTTTCCCCCGTCGGCAAGCAGAGCAATGGACACACTGTGAACCTGCAGGATGGCGAAAGCCTTGGGATGGACTACTCAGTCACGACACAGTCGGATCAGTTCTCAGCTATGACCTCGCTGAGTGAAAAAGACTACTACATAGAGCCTAGTGAGTTTCCTGCTACTCTAGATCTGGATGAGTTGTATTTTTTTAAACCCAGGTCGACTTTGTGTTTCTTATTGTTATGTTTCTTCACACCTTGCAACAAAGTGAATATCACCTTTTGTCAAGTCACAGACAAACTTCTATTAGGAATCTTTGATGGAGCCACACAGAACTGGAAATAATTGTGTCAATAAGTTGTAGCATCACTTTTTCCAGTATTTCTTCACCAACTCTACTTGTCTAATATCTGAATATTGCACACTTTTCATAAATGTGTTTAGAAAAATCTTGGCACCATGTATAATTTGTCTTCCACTTGACAGCTAAGCTCTACCTTGTTTTGTTCGATCACATAAATCTGATTAAATTAGTGGCTCCAATGTCTTATTTAGGAGGTTTAACACTGTAGGCGACACATTAGACAAAAACAATTTAAAATACAATATTTCATACCTGTATCTTCCTTCTTATTGAGTCAATTTATCTAATTAGAAAAAAATCAGTATGTATTATTGTCTCTATCCTGACTTTTAGCATCTAAAAAAATAACTCTTTTTTTTTTTTATTATATGTTTTTAGCTCCAGAGGGCCACACTTCCACCAGTGTGATCCCTCTGATCAAAGTGGGGCGGGGTATGTACAGTGTCAGGCACAACAACTCAGGAGTCACTCGGTTCCTCATCTGTCAGATTTCCTCTGTGGAGGGCAGCAAATACATCAAGATCCGCTCTCCGTTTCAGGTACCTTGAAAGAAGAGAAAATTAGCTGTTTTCATCAGATAATTCATGTAATCTTAGAAAATCACATAAAAATGCACAAGAGACCATAATTTATTGTGCGTCTGTGATTTTTTTATTTTTTATTTTCCATATTCTTTGCAGATTATCAATCATTTCACGATACCATTCAACATTTTTGAGGGATCGACATGTCTGGGAATAGCTTCTCCGACTGAGGAGTTCTGTGTACCACTGGATTCATACAGGTGAGTTCCAAACCACAACCACCCTTCACATTCACAATCATCTCTTCTTTCTAATCTCTCTTGCCCTCCTCAGGTCTGAGCTGAGCCTGCAGCCGATAACAGAGGAAACCACCGAGGAAGACGGAAAACAGTTTGACGTGTCAGAGGGCTTCAGCTACGAGGACTTCTTATACCATAATCCAGATACTCGCCTGCAGCGGACGTGCCGTTGTCGTGGAGATGATTCTGGCGTCATGATGACGATCAACATGGTGCCAGTGAAAGACACAGTGACGTGCAAGGAGACGGGAGATATCGGAGAAAACTGTGACATTGCCTTTGTGCTTCACCTCTGGCCCTCTGTCCTGCTCCGCAATCTGCTGCCTTACCCCGTTGCCTACAAATTAAAGGTTGGATGTACCAGCATTTTTACACAGCTAAGCTTAACTTTACTAGATAGACCTGATATTTTTGTCAGACTTGCAGAATCAAGTTTAATGTGAATCATTTAATAAAGTGAAACAAAAACAAACAAAAAAAAAAAAATCAGAAAATCAATTAAAGAGAACCAATCCTACAACATGAACTAGGCCAAAAGATCTCAAAAAACAACAGATCGGGTCCCGATTTAAAGAAATTTAAAACTTATCGGACTCTTTGGTGCCTGTCTTTAATTAAATTAATTTTTACCAACAGGGGAGCAAGGACAGTGACCCTGAAGTTACGCTGGGTCCAGGCCACTCCGCTCAGCTTCACACTGCGGTCATCAACCAGTCAAGTCTTGATCTCCGGCTTCTGGATTATTTGGCTCAGGACTGGTCCTCTGAATACAGGTCTAACCTGCATCTTTTATGTATTTGTACCTTCAAACCTGAGGTCACTGTTTAAGTCAAAATAACTTGTTGTCTTGCAGACTCCAGAGTGAGCAGGAGGAAATCACCTTCATTGTGTTCCAGTCTCTACGCGTCAATGAGGAAGACGTAGGAGATGGGTTTGAAAGGAAGAAGCCTGAATTGGATATTGCGGTGCATGTTCAGTACGACCCTGGTCAGACTGTTGTTGCCATCCACTCTCCATACTGGATGGTGAATAAAACAGGGAGGTTGCTGCAGTACAAGGCTGATGATATTCACCGTAAACACCCTTTAGACTACGACATGCCGCTTCTCTTCTCCTTCAAGCCTCGCAATTTTCTGAGAAACAATAAGGTAGGAATAAAAAAAAGACTACATTATTCAGTATTGTGTTTTCCAATACTGTTGTGACCTGTAATGTTACTTTTAATGCATCGTCAAGGAACATTGCTACACACATAGGTGTGACATCACATAAGCCCCACCTTCATGCCAAAGCAAGTTTAACCCATCGGTTTTTATTTAGCTACAAATCCTCACACCTGTCAGAAGAGTTGCTGCTTTCCTGCTTTACTAAATGAGATTCCCCCCCCCCCCTCTCTCAGGTTCGCCTCATGATCTCAGACAGTGAGCTGTCAGACGATTTCTCTCTCGACACAGTTGGTAGCCATGGCGATGTGAAATGTAAAGGCAGATACAAAGACTATCTGGTAAGTCTTTGTTTTATTTGTTGAATTTCAAACATAAAGATTTTATCAGATGAGAAATGTCCCGCTAACGTTAATAAAGTGGTAATTTAACGACAATATGCCATTCTCTGAGCTTAAAAACATATTTATGCACTCATAAGCATAAAGAATCTGAGTGATAGGAGCATTATGTGTTTAGTCCATATTATTTAGCAAAGGAGAATTATCAGAATTTATTGTAAATTTAGTGTAATATTGAGAATATTATTAAAGCTGCTAATATTACTGATATTAACATTTATGCTGCTGACTTCACTTTAACAATGCTTTACTGAAATTTTTATATTTTTTAACAAAGCTTGATAATATTAATGGTAAATTTCCTTACATCTCAAGTCACCACTTGCCAAGTCAGCCTTCTTTCCCCAGGATTGTGCAGGATGTAAACCCAGCATTACATTTTTGTATAAAAATCCTTTTTAACATTTTTATTTTATTGGTTTTTGTTATATTTACAATTTTTGAGAACTTGAAGGTTGGGTTTTCAAATTTATTCTTTGAACAACTTTAAGATGTTATGTAATTTATCGACATTTTTCTGTAAGTTTTGTTTTGTTTTGTAAATAATTGCACATCATCATCGTCGTGTCTTGTATTTTGCTTGATGTCTCTCTGCTGCCAGGTTGGAGTGAAGATTGATGCAAGCAGTTTCAGTCTGACCCGCATCGTGACCTTTGTACCGTTTTACATGCTGGTCAACAGTACCAAGCACAGGGTCTTCGTCTGCGAGGAGGGCCTGGAAAACTGGACTCAAGCAGAGCCAGAACAGGTCAAACCAGTTACTTACTTTTTCATTTCTTTTTCACTAATACCTGGTCTTTTAATAGCTTTTATTTAAGGTCATGTTACATTAAATCATATTTATTTTTTTTTGTGTGTGTTTGTGCGTTTCCCATAGGATACAAAAAATTTGAAAATTCTTTATAGAAGTTTTATGGTTACTGATGCATTTTAGAAACTTTCATTTTTCTTTTAGAAATTAGTTTAGTACTTCTGTCTTAATTTTTTTTCTTTTGCCAAATTATTATTTTTATTTTATATGATAAGTTAAAGTGGTTTATTAGTTTTTATTTTAATATGACCTGTTAAAACAGTTTAGTAATACTAGCTAATGTGTTCAGGCATTGCTTTTTGTCTATGAATATTAAACTGCCTTGTTGTTGTTGTTTGTTTTTTTTACCCATATTTAGTCAGGTATTCCTTTCTGGCCCGAGAACGACACCAAGCGTCTGAAGATCAAATTAGAAGGATGTTTAGCGCCTCCCCAGACGATTAACTTCACCAAACGAGAGAACTGCTTGTTGCTGCATCTGGACAACTCTGTAAGTAAACACAATCATTCAATCAGAGGATTAAAAGGCCACGACTTTGTTTCTTTTCTAACTTTGTGTTATTTAAGGTGGGCGGCATCATCGTCGATGTAAACCTGTCCGATCACTCGGCCACCATTCGATTCTCTGAGTACCATGATGGGGCGGCCCCGTTCCTCCTCATCAACCATACAAACGAATGTCTTCAGTTCAGACAGAGGTAGGACAGCAGGAGAAACGCACACAGTGAAAAACATTTTAAGCCTTACAGTTTTATCGTCTGCTGCTTGGTATTTAGGCAATGATAGAACTAGGGCTGTCACTACAAGATTACAAAACCTATGACTGTAACATTAATACTTCAACACATTTTTGTTTATAAAATTATCCTTACCTTTTAGACTTTCTAACAAAAGTTGCAACTTTTTTCCTCCAAATTATTGCTGTTTGATAGAAGAGTTTCCTGACTGAACTCTGCCTGTAGGCCATCTCTTTTTGTCTGTGTGGGCACTTCATGTATCGATTTCTAGTCATGAGTCAGCTGCAGTTTTAGAAACAAACAAAAAAGCTTTGATCTTTAAGGGGGCATTATTATGTAAAATCGACATTTTGAGCTTTACATTGTGTTATAATGTTATTCCCTCATCAAAAGCACATCTGGAGTATTTCCTTAATTCTTTAATGCATGTTTGAGAAAGCCTTTAGTTTCCTGTGGCAACCGCTCAGCTGTGCAAAACGCCTGGGTGGACGTACCGCCTTCATGATGAGTAGCTGCAGATTAGTACACCCAAAACATCATGAATGACTGTAAATCAAATTGCTGCTTGATTTGTTGATGCTTTCACACTTTGTTACAACCTCCTGTGCTGATGGCTTGGTTGAAAATAACTGTGGGAAATCTAAAGTGAAGGCTGGAAACATTAGAGCTCTGTTGCCCTCTCTGGAAAAATAAAGAACTGCAGTTCATTTTAATAAACTTAAGCTGTTTTTGCAGCATGCCCAGTGTTGATTTCATTGGGATATAAAAGGAAAGAGTGCATGGTTGTAAAAAATCTGTATTTGCATCTTTTAAATTTCACAAATTATTTATAACATAATACTTATTATTGTATGAATCCATGTAGTAATATGTACTTACATTAGGGGGTTGAGTGCCACAAAGGGGATGTTGGTTCTTTTTACTAATAAATTTTGTTGCTTTCCTTTTAGGTCAAAGTTTGTTGCCTCAGCCTGATATTCTTTTTATATGTATGATTTTTTTTCACATTGCAGCTGTTAATTTGCTGCGTTTTGATTGAAGAAAACATTTTGGTTATTTGTAGCATTATTAAGCAATAGAGATGCACCAATTGAATTTATGGTTTTTCTCAAGCACAATAAATGTAAAATAAAAGCACATTTATCGTGCTTTAAATACAACAGAGATTTATGTAATTCCACAACTATCCCCCTTAGTCATGAAAAAATTCTGTGATTCATTTTTCTTTCATTTTAAACACTCGCATCAAAGTTCATACTTCTAGTTAACTGAAAGTGGTTGGAGTTTTTAGTTTTGATGCTTTACTGGGTGAAAAAAATAAAGATTTTTCTTTGACCTGCCAAACAAAAACATGTCCCAAACTCTGACCAGTTGATTGGTGCATCTCCGTTAAACCGTTGGATTAATAATAAATGTCAGTGTTTATTTCTGTTGATGGTGATTTGTGCATTTTTTTTGTCGTGTGACCGATGCAGCACCCGGAAAGAGGCCCCGTGGGTGGCTGACGAGCTGCTTGACCTTTCCTTCTCAGGGGAGGAGGACAGGTAGAAAAATATGAAACGTAAAAACTCTTCTGACACACTCTGAACTCAGGCTAAGGACTCAGGAGTAAAAACAAAAAAGAAGGTGCATCATGAAAACATACAAGGAGAGACATGATAGTTACCTTTCTAGAAGCAGGCCGAGAGAATAAATAGGCTCATTTTTACCATTTGAAAAACAAAAAACAAACAAAAAAAAAAAACATTGTTGATCACACCTGAGAATATTTAAAGACAGAACATGAATATGGAAGAGCACTGATCCGACACAAGGGTAACTCACTACGTTAGAGATAGACTCATTTACTTTTTCCATTAAAAGAAAAAATTCAAGTAGATAAAGTTTGTATAAAAAAAACTTTTATCTCCGATAAGATTTCCTTTTAACAAAAAGGCACTTGAAGAAGATTAATATGATTTATTTTGAAGTCCTATTAAAGAAAGTAAGAAATAATTGCTATGTGGTTCAGATACATTATGTGTAAGCAGATCTTTTTAAAAAAAATGGATTATTACTCTTTTTAAATAAGTAAAAACATAATAAATACAGATGCATCACAATATATAAGAATAGGATGAAAATATATTTGTTTTATATGTTTTTAGTGGAAAGCTTACATATTTAAGAGTTTAGCCACCCTTCAATTCTCTAATAAAAATTCTATTAGTCACACATACAGGTTCATTTCAGTGAATCAAAACATCATTGAACATTTCATTTAATCCTGTAAATTAATTCAAAATGTGAAGCTTGCGTCATGAAGATTAATTACACACAAAGTGATTTTATTCCTAGTGTTTATTTCTGTTAATTATTATGAATATTGGCCATGACTAGTGGAAACGCAAACATTATTTTTCTAAAAAATTAAAATGACATGAGATGGAAAAAAAGTAAAATAAAAGAAATGTTTTACACTCATCATGGCTCCCCTGATCGACCTTCCACTGAAGATTGCCCTTGTTAAGGAAGTTAATGGGAGTTAGTTATGTGAAATTAACGATTCGTATCAAAAGAGAAATGAATGGGTTTTGTTGTTAAATGAATGATACAATATAAGCAAGTTCAAGTGATCAGGTTAGAAATTAGCTTGAAGCGCAGCAAAAGGCTCTGACTCCTGTCAAAGACGTTCATTGACCTCAGTTCTGAGTGTGGATGAAGAGGGAAGTTAGAAAAGAGTAGGAACCTGTTTCACTTCTGACTGTGTAACCTGCTTTCACACCCAACGTGATTTCACATCCTTGACAGCAATCATTGAGTCTCCTGTGGAGAACATAAATATTAAAAGTCTAGCTATAAATTAGCAAAGTTTCACCTGTTCTATGATCAGTTTGTTTCTAATTTTAAACATTTTGTGAAATGGAGCAGGTTACACACCTAAAGCTGTTTAATGTTGTGTTTATCTGGTAGCAAAGACTTCCCAGATGTTCTGCTGGCTAGATGGGATTCTGCGTCGGGAATTACTCTATCCTCTGCTCCCAGTTCTTCTCTCTCATTAACTAGCCTCCCTTTGCTTCTCTTCTCCATTTCTAGATAGTGAACTTCCCCTTTTCTTTCTTGCTTTGAGAACATTTAGCTAAATATCCATGTTTAATCAAACGGATAATATTGCAATCATTGATGTTCACCTTCTTTAAGTTCTGGGGTTTAAAATATTTTGCATTTATATATTAATTCCATGATTTATATTTGCTTTTAGAATTGTTTACATTTTTACGGAAGCGCATTGCTATCACGCAGGAAAAAAAAAATTTGAGCGCTATCACGTTATAACAGTGATACGTATCTTGTTAAAACGTGATAGTATCTCGTTAAAACGTGATACGTATCTCGTTAAAACGTGATAGTATCTCGTTAAAACGTGATACGTATCTCGTTAAAACGTGATACGTATCTCGTTATAACGTGATACGTATCTCGTTAAAACGTGATACGTATCACGTTATAACGTGATACGTATCACGTTATAACGTGATACGTATCACGTTATAACGTGATAGCGCTCGAAATTTTTTTTTCCTGCGTGATAGCAATGCGCTTCCGTACATTTTGTCTTCGTCTTTATTAAAATTTTTAATTAAAATAAGATTGAAGTAGTTTTACCACAGAACTGCTAGAGGGTGTACTTTCTTCTTGAAATGACTGTTAGTAAAACTTTTAAGGAAATTCTTATTGAGCCTTTGGGTATTTAAGATGGCATATTCTGCCCTTTTGTGATGTCTTTTTCCTTCCTGTGTTCATTGTTGCATGTACTCTGTTGTGTTGTTCTTCAAAACTCTCTTATTCTTATTTGTAAATCTTTTTACATCCTAAACTGTCGTCGCTGTTCCACTGTTTGTGAATTCTCAGCTCTCTGAAGGAGTTGGAGTGGGAGAATCTAGACGCTGGAAAAGCTGTGTATTACACCTGGACTGAGCCCACCGGGTCCAGAGAGCTGAGCTGGAAACATGGACGGAACCAAGGAGAGCTCAAGGTGGAGAAGGTACTGAACCTGAGATTAAATCTGTATCTAAGAAATGAGGGGAAATATTTAATTCGCCTTGTAGGTTTTTCTATTTAACTTAATCTGTTTGTTTAGATAATAACGGCTTACCGATGATGAAAATCACAAATTTGGTTTCTAAGGAGAAATAGAATATTATATAAAACCAAAGCAAAAAACAAAAAAATGTTGGCCTGATGAAAAGCGTGCCCTTTGCGTGTGTCCATTCAATATTTCCATTTCAATTCAAATTAATTTCGGTAAGGACAGCACATTAAACAATGTTACATGTTAAAAAACAACATAGCGACCGTTGTTTAGAAATAAGTTTTCTAGCCACAGGCTAATTTGCAAATCAAATTTGGTTTGAGGTTTCGTTTGCTTGAATTACTTTATCAGCCTGTGACTCTGCTCTACAGCCCAGGCTATGACCTTTAGTTTTTCTGTAACTTCTGCTTAAAATGAAAATCGGCATCTCCATAAAGCCAAACCGAGCTCTAACCAGATGAGATTGATCCCCAAAACATCACAGGCAGTGGAAACTTCACAGCTTTCTCCACTTTTCCTCCCGGTCCTGTGAGCTTGCTTTCTAAATGAAACGGAGTAACAAAGAGACGGACACAACTGGCTGCAGATGCTTTATATTACTTTTATTATTATTAGAGTCAAATGTCTTATTTAAAATGTTTTAATCTTGTTTTGCTGCTACAAACATTGTTTTTATCTGTCTGCATGCTATTAAAATCTTCAGATGAAGTATATTTTTGGTAATTTTATTATCTGTATGCCATTATCATCAACTTAACTTAAACTGATTGCTGTGGGTTTTTGTGTTTCACATCTTAAACTGGTATTCTAAACTCTTGTCTTTCTTACCTTCAGGACATGGATTGGTCAAGTAGAAAATGGTTATGCTGCTTTCTTAGTTGTACAAATGAAATAGTTTTGGAGAAGGGCATGGCTCACCTAAGAAAAGTAAACATTGTAATTGTGTGCTTTCCTTAAACTAATTGAGATTCAGATTTTCTTCATCCAGTTTATCTAGACCAATAATCTGTTTGGACAATGTTACGCATTAAATAAAGTTCAGTGTTTGTTTTTCTCTCGGCACATGCGCGGGTTTTTTCCGGGTACTCCGGCTTCCTCCCACAGTCCAAAAACATGACTTTGAGGTGAATTGATCTCTCCAAGTCAGTCGTCTCAAACCGCCTTCCCTGAGGGCCAGAATCCTTCAACCTTTAGACGTCTCTCTGCTCCGGCACACCTGGCTCCAGTATTAACTCATCGGCAGAGCCCTGCGGAGTTTAACTACATGCCAGTGAGACAGTTTCACCATTTAGTTTAAGTCTGTAGCATAAGGGACACATCTAAAAGTTACAGGACTCTGGCCTTCGCAGTATGCAGTTTGAGACCACTGCTCTAAATTGTTCTTAGGTATGAGTGTGGTTCTGCATGGTTGTTTGTCCTGTTTGTCTCTGCGTAGCCCTGTGACGGTCTGGCGACTTGTCCAGGGTGACCCCGCCTCTCGCCTGTTTACCGCTGGAGAAAAGCAGCAGAACCCCTTGTGACCCTGCAGAGAAAAACGTGTTACATAACGGATGGACGAATCGTTCATGTTTGTGATTAACTGCAATATTTCTGCTGTTTCATCAGGAACTGGTTGATGAGAAAACAAACGGAGAAGGGAAGCTTTATGTGATTCCCTTTTATGAAGGTAAAATTCCCATGCGTCCTGGATCCTGTCATTTTACATTTACATCTGATTTCCTGTATATAGTTTGTGTTATTTCTGATGGAAAGGTCTCCAGCGTGTCGTGGTGTTCACTGAGAATCAGCGTATCTTCAAGCGGCTTGTGGAAAATGAAAGCTTGCGACATGCTGAACAGGAAGTCATCCTGTGGCTGCACGACATGGGCATATCTTTGGTCAACAACAACAATAGCCAAGAGATTTCTTTTATTGGGATCACAAGGTGATTCTCCTTTGTTTAGTAAGTAGCTGATTACAGGTCAAACATGCAGCAGAATTGTTTATAACATGAATGTTTGTGCGCCCGTTGTCCTGCTGCATCCGGTTTAGCTCTGACATTGTGTGGGAGATCAAGCCGAAGAAGAAAGGTCGGTGGAAAACCCTGAGCACAGAAGAAGTTGGGATGTTGGAGAATCACTTCAGAGAGTACTCTGATTCCACGCCGATTGACAACTGCATCGCTGACCTGGAGAACAACTTTCAGGTCAGAGCACAAGGATTGGTGGTTAATTTGTAAGCAATTAAATTATTAAACCAAACATTTTAAAGTGTTAACAATTAGAATAATCTGATAGTGAATTGGGCATAAATATTTTTGGCTGATTGCTGAGGAGGACGTTAGTATTTGTGCAATTATTAAACTGTTTTTGTTTTTATAATTCCTCCCTCAGGTCTGTTTTACGCCCACTGGTTCAGATATGCACATGCTGCAGCCAGTGGCTGCTCCTCTGAGGCGACTCCACCTCCCCGGGGTGAAGGTGGAGTACAGCATCTCACCTCGACAGAGAGCCTACCGTGTCCAAATCCACCGGATACAGGTGAAATTAAAAAACCTGCTGGTATCGAACATTTCTACAAAGCAACCAGTTGTTTGCTCCTGAGTTAATTTCTAAAATGTTTGTGTTGCTGCCTTAACATGTCTGATTTCTGATTTGGGATGAAGTAGCAGCAAGACTTTGGCTTTCTGAGTCTCAGTTTTAACTTCTGCTTAAAGTGAAGATTGTAAACTACACACCATAAATTACACTAAAATAATGAACCCATCGTTCTCTCAGAATATCAGAGAGCTGCTGTTCTGAGATGCAGCAGATTCTTGTGAACATAAGACAATAAAATCCAATAACAATAGATCCCTTTACTGAATTTCACATATTCAACCAGTAATAGTGAGCAGCGTTTTGTTGCTAAGGGATGAGGCACAGGTGTGCAAGTGACTGCAAGTAAAGGGTAAAACCAGTCCACTCCCACACTTTAAATTACAAACAGTTTGTAGATTTTACAGTGGAAAAAGTGAACAGTTTTCCTGTTCAGGTTTTGTTTGGCATCACTTACAGCTGCAGTAGGTAGCTTATATATATAAAATGTTCTTTACATATTTGTTAAAAGTTGTTGTTACGTCATGACAGTATGAGACAGATAATTTGTAAGAGGAAAAGAATCATGCTCCTTTTCCTCCTCATGAAGGCAGAGATGAAAACATGCTGAGATCTGATGGATCTAAAGGAAAAAGAAATACTTCTTGTTCATCATTGGGTTCCTGCTCATGAGAAGCCCAAACCTAACTGTGAACTTTCAACGGATACTTTCAAAGAAAACACAGCACCTTTGTTTCCTGTGAATCTCTTAAAGACTTGGTGTCAGATGCGTTTTCATTTAGCATTAGTTTTTAGAAAAGTCTCGTCTCTATTACAGATCCAGAATCAGATACCAGGAGCCATCTTCCCTTTTGTCTTTTACCCCATCAAACTCCCCAAATCCATTGCCAAGGACACAGGTCTGTTATTACACCGAATTCATTTGTCATAATTTACTCATGATGCACAGTTTTGGTTTTTAATGTCATTTGTTTTGCTTCCAGAACCAAAACCTCTAATTGATCTCAGCATTGTTACCAGAACTGCTGGACACACCGACATCTCTCGCATCAAGTATGTTTAGTTTTTATTTGAATATATGTTACGTATTTCCATATCCAGGTAAAATAAAGTATAGCACACGAGTCTCGGTAATCATAGATTAGAATTGCTGTCTTCTCTCAAATTAATCTTCTCTATTGTTTCACTTGTTATAAACAATTGTAATGTTTTCTCAGCTTATTCTTAAATAACAAATTAATTGGTTTTGACTTCAGGTACTTCAAGGTTTTGATTCAGGAGATGGATTTAAAGCTTGACCTGGGCTTTCTGTATGCCATCCTGGACTTTGTTACTCCTGAGAACGCCGGCGTCATGACTTCAGAACAGGAGGTCAGTCACACTCACTGATAATCACCAAATCCTTCCCTCTGTTCCTCCATATTTTATTATCAGACAAGGACAAATGGAGTGTGTTTATTCACCTGGACAACAATTTGAAGCACACCAGCAGGTCCTTTGTGAAAAGTGTAGCAAGAAGAGCAAAAATAAGAGGCGTCTAATAGAGCAAATACTTTTTTATTGCTCTGTAACTTCATGATCCAGTATATATGTGCTTGTCCTCCAGGTGGAGCTGTTTACTCAGGACATAGAGTATATAAAAACGGAGCTGAACCATGTCTCTTCTACTGACACGTCACCCATCAGCCTCTATGAGCAATTCCACATTTCCCCTATCAAGGTGGGTAAAATTCAAAAATACTTTGAATGAAGCGAACAAAGGCACAAACAAATCGGTTTTTAGACAGCATGATTTCCTCCCGTCCTTGTTGGGTTATGAACATCGAAAATGATAGCAAAATCAGTAATATGCAACTGCAATCAAATGAATTAATTGTAAAGTGAATGTGGTAAATAAGCACATTTTACAACCTTCAATACCAAAAATATTCCAAGAAAGGGTGCAACAGAAAATAAGTTTTTTAAAAGTGCTTATTGTGCTGATGATGCATGAAACGCATCACACAAAGAGGAAATAACACGACACTGAATGAACTCAGTCAGTGATATTCTAATTATTTTGAACTGAAATTAATATGAAATTGTTCCCGTTTTTCTTTTCAGTTGCATTTGAGTTTCTCTCTGAGCACAGGAGGAGAAGACGGCTTAAAGAGGAAGAGAGAAACTGAACTCATCCCCATTCAGTCCCTCAACCTGCTGCTGAAGAGCATCGGAGCAACGCTCACTGACGTGCAGGACGTCGTCTTCAAGTACGAGGCCTCCCATGTTTAAGCGCACAAACCAGATCCAGCTGCTGTTTCTGTGTTTTTCTGTGATTTGAAGAAATGATTCTGCTGACTGGATGTTTTATTTATTCCAGGCTGGGATTCTTTGAGCTAAACTTCCAGTTTTACACCACTCAGCAGCTACAATCGGAGGTCATCAGACATTACTCCAAGCAGGTGATGGTCATAGAAACATTTTCAAAATGGCTCCTTTTTTTTTCCTTCTTTTTTTTTTGCACCTTTGAGGGATTTCTCTAAAAAAGGTTGATGAAAAAGTATTTTTCTTTTGTATGTTTGTTTTATCAGTAATCAAGCAATACTGACTTCATCAATTTTATTTATTTTCTTGACTTTTAAAATCCATCTTTTAATTCAGTTCAACGTTACACAGAGACAGTCCTCCTTCCACTGGGTCAGAAGTTATAAATGTAGCTACTTCACCAAGAAGTTTTTTTTTTTTTAAATCAAATTCATTTTTCCTTTTATTCATTAAAAGTTGAAAACATGGGAACTCAAGTTTATATTTCTGTATGTTTCAGGCTATTAAACAGATGTATGTTTTGGTGCTGGGCCTGGACGTGCTTGGAAATCCCTTCGGGCTGATCAGAGGATTGTCGGAGGGCGTCGAAGCGTTCTTCTACGAGCCCTACCAGGTAGGAATGTAGTACGTAGAATAAGTGCTTTATTTTTCAGTATTGTGAAAAATTGCTTAGTTTCTTAAACTAATTTTTTCAGCATAAACAAGGTATTATTTCTATCTGAAACATTGATGAAATACAAATGAAACTATAACTTTTGAGTCTAACTCGGCGCGGTTTACAGCCGATCATCCTTGTTTCCAAGCTTCTGCTCAACAAGAAATCAGTCGGCCTGTCTGTGCTTCAAAATGTGGCAGTAATATGTAGTGGTATTGTTTTTGTTCGGATCCATGACTGCATGAGGAAACAGCTTTATCTGAGTGACAATAAATATTTTTAAAATGTATTTATTTCTTGTAAATTTGTAATCCTGTGAGAAACTAAATGTTTAATTTTATTAGATCTTAAATATTATAGACCTGGACGATATAGCTGAAAAACCTATCATAATATTAAGCATTTCATATCAGCCAATATCAATAATTGTCGATTTCAATAATTATTGATTAGTCTTTTTTTTGTTTGTTTTAAATAGCTGAAGTACTGCCAAACTGGTGGCGTGACCTGTCCTGTTTTATCCACAGTTTTCCCAAAACCTTATTATGATATTATGACTTACCTCAATGCATTTATACATTTACAAGTCGTTTGTTGGAGCTGAGGGTTTTCTGGAATAATTTCTGTTCAGATTGACATCCTAGAAACTCCTGATCTTCATTCTCTGTGTTCATTTGTGCTGCTGGTTTTCCAGGGAGCCATCCAAGGTCCTGAAGAGTTTATAGAAGGAATGACCATCGGTGTGAAAGCTCTGGTTGGAGGAGCTGTTGGTAAGAATTTCACTCAGCTTAAACTGGTGGGAACTTTGAGTTCGGCAAATAAGATCTAATACAGAGCAGTCATCGAAGAGGCAAACATAATGATGAAGGATGTCTGATTGTGCAGATTATATCAGGACACCAGGAGCTGTGACATTAAATGTGGGGTTGTTCTGTTAAGCTGATAAACTTTTTTGCCCTTAATAGGTTGATTTTCAGCTTTTATAAATATAAAATGTATCTAAACTTGCAGAAAATTGTTTTTGTCCCAGTTGCAAATAATCTGTGCTTGCCAGGTGACGCGTATCAGTGGCATAAAACAAGTTGTATGTTTTTAAAATAAATAAGCTTTGGTGTATTTATTTTTGTATAGGGGGTATCGCAGGCGCAGCCTCTAGGATAACGGGGACCATCGCAAAGGGAGTCGCTGCAATAACCATGGATGAGGAATACCAGCAGAAGAGGCGAGAAGCCATGAACAAACAGCCTACAGGCCTGAAAGACGGGCTGGCCAGAGGCGGGAAAGGATTGGTTTCTGTGCGTTTCATTATTTGTCCAACTCCACTTTGAATTAATCAGTGATAACGTTTCTGACTTTCTAAATGCCGTAACGTGGCCTAAAATAAAAATGTTGACGCAGCTTGTTTATGTTTCAGGGATTCGTCAGTGGAATCACAGGCATTGTTACCAAACCTATAAAAGGTGTGTTTAGTCTGACTCTCTACAAATATATAGTTACAAACTGTTTTTTTTTTATTCATAATAACAAGCTGTGGTTGGGTTTGAAACTTCTAAACACATTATCTGTTGTTGTGCAGGGGCGCAGAAAGAGGGAGCAGCGGGCTTCTTTAAGGGTTTTGGCAAAGGTTTGGTGGGTGCGATAGCTCGACCGACAGGAGGCATTATCGACTTGGCCAGCAGTACTTTTCAGGGAATCAAAAGGTATAACTCTCTTTTCTGCTTTTTGTTTCCATCCTTATGGTTTCACACTGCTGAGGTAATTGAATTTTAAATGCACTGCTTCTCTAACAGAACTGTTAAAGGGAGACGAGCTTTTTACCTCAGGCGGTCAATATTTAATCGTGACAATCTGCTGTGTGCTCCTCCACTTGTAAATATTTCTTTGCCAGACTTTTACTATCTGAGTGTCTCTCTTTACGGTATAGTTTATAATGCTGCCCATCAGTTTTTGTACATCTCATAAAGATGTGCAAAAAGCCCTAAAATATAGCAACACGTTTTAACATTTAATTTTTTTTTTTGCACTATTTAAACTTTTGCAGTGTGCTGTATGATTTCCTGTTGGTTTGAAGTGGCATGACATTGAGGAGATGATGAGATGGAGAAAACATGTAATCTCCTAAACTTGTCAGGGCAATAAAAAAAATGAGCATTTTAAGTGTTGAAGAGCTACATTCGTTTGCGTCAACTTAATAATTTGCTATATAAGGCTTTTTGACTCACCTACATTAGGGTTGTCAATAACTGTAAATGAACTATGCCGTAGGTTCCTTAAACTGTGCTTCTTTAGGTGATCAAGTAAAATATCTTTCTCTCATATTGTCCCGCTTACAGGGCAACAGAGACCTCTCAGGATGTTATCTCTCTCCGTCCTCCTCGCTTCATACATGAGGACGGTGTCATCCGACCATATAAGGAGAGAGAGGGCGTCGGGAGTCAGATGCTCCAGGTAAGAATCCGCCTTGTTTTTGGGTTTCTGAATCTGATTGTTCTGGATCATCTGGTTTATGGGAATTCACTCATAGTTTTAATTCATTTTCACCGTCACCCATCCTTTCATTGATCCCTCATAGCTTCTATCAGCTCTCCCTTGTTTCAAGCCAGATAATTAATGTTCTCCCCATAAAGTGTCAGCAGCTTCACAAGTCAGAGGATAGATTTATGCTGTTAGTAGTTTAGACTGGTGACGACTGTGTTATATTCAGCATCGGTAAATAATTTCAGTAAAAATGTAGTGAATGCATGCAGAGCAGCTCAGTTGGTAGAGCACACACACCCCCACACACACCCACACACACACACACACACACACACACACACTCACACGCACTCACACGCAAGGTGCAGAGGCTGCTGTCTTCAACCCGGTTGTCCAACGTTTGATTTCTGGTCTTGGACCATTTACTATATGTCTGTTTACTGTTTGATAAAGGTCACTAATCCCACAAAAAGCTTTACAAAACTAAATTTAAAAAAATGAAGTGAATGTCACATGTGTTGGTTGTTTTTATCGGATGAAAAAGGCTTTTTTATTACAATAGACGTTTTAGCAACATTAATATAAAGAAAGCAAAACAAATATAATTACTATTTACAAAATAATTGAACTTCGGTAGTGGAGAGATAAGTTTGTGGTCTGACTTTATTGTGAGAACTTTAAGGTTGTGAGATTTTAATCTCCAAATTGATTAGGAATTTTGTAAACGTCTCTGGTTTTCCAAGCCTTTAAAAAATGTTTTTTTATTTGTGACCTATTCTGCTCTTGTTTATTCATTTTTAATATGGCTTTAGACACTAAGATTGGTTTGAGCCTTTTCCAGAGTTTCTGTCTCAGTTTAAGGAGCTCCAGTCCTTCCTGTTCTGACCCTCCTCCCTCTCTCTTGTCATGTCCACAGAGGCGCTTGGCTTACATTGAATGGAGTAAAAGTAATTACTCCGAGGATGAGGATGATGAGTAAAAGCCATCGTAGCTGTGATGTAGAGTAGTTCTGGTGCTTGTGCATAGTCTGTGTTGGAGAGTTACAGATTATTATCTCTGTTAGTTTAAACTGTTGAACTTTTAAGGCGTCCTTTGAGGCGAATGTAAGACTGTAATTTTGAATTGTATTTGAGTTTTAAATGTTTGTTTTGTTCCTATTGAGTCAGTATCCTTCATTTAATCATTCATTAATCCATTGTTGTCAGATTTATTTTTGTTCCTAATTTTTCTGTCAGTCATTATTTTCATCCTTGGCTTCTGTTTGAGAAATCTTTCATTATCAGCAGTTTTGACTTTTATTTTGTTGCTAATAAAGGATTATTTAAATTCCAGCCTCCATTGTCTGTTTCATCCCATCTGTTCCCATCACCCCTTGTTGTTTTTTTCATTTTCCAAGTTTTCTCCATATTTTCATGCACTAATTTTGCTGCGGACTATGTCTCCTCATTCCTGCAGTTAGTTCATCATGTTTTAAATCATTTTGCAAACCTGCAAATAATTTCTAATTTTTTTTTAAAAAAAAATCACATTCTCTCTTTTAAACTTTTTTTTTCTTGCAGACAATTGAAAACGGACGTTTTGCCAAGTATAGATACTTTGCTCATGCCAAGATTAACGATTCAGACTTCTTCATGATCACCAAGAGGTAAGCAGCTCTGACACTTTGTCAAATAAGCTATAAAATTTTTGCTGAGCTCAAACGACATCAGATATTTTGAGCAGCTTAAGAGGCAGTCCTTCGGTTGTAGTTCATAATTTCACCACTAGATGTCCATAAAGCCTTTTTGCATTGCAATGGTGTATGAGGTGCTGTACAAGTTTAGTCCTGACAAAAATGTTTTAAGGTTAATAGCAGTAATGTCTCATTGTAAAACACGTATTTAAGCACAATCACAAAAGAAATTAGGTTTGGTTGATTATTTCTTTGTAACTGTGTTTCTTGGCAATAAATGTTGCAGTCGACCCCTGGTTTTGGTGCGGGTTAGAAACTACAGCCGCCCGCAAATATCTAAAATGAGCGAATGCTTGAAGTCACCTCTAAAAACACTTATAACTGCCTTTGTTAGTTTAATATTTCAAAGACTAAATATGGCTTAATCTGCATTATCACGCACAGTGGAAACCGTCTCCGCTGTAGCGAACATGTACAACCTAGCTTATTACCACAGCCAATCAGTGCCAAGAAGAATGAAAGTCGTTTCTGGATTGGCTGTTTTCCAAACCCCAGCCAACTGTGTGACAAGTAGCATTTTATTCTGAATGTTTTAGATGTGATGTACAAAAAAGCAGGTTGATACGCAGTGAATAATTTGGAGTTTCACAGAAAAATCTGCAAATAGATAAATAAGTGGTGGCCCACTGTATGCCGTTGTGGAAAGCTTTGTTTCCGTTCAGTGATGTCACATTTGTTAGCAAAATGCATTTGTGGGTCAAGCAGCAGAGTTGAGTATGTGGTTAAAGAAAACTGCTAAACCCTTTGGCAATATCAGTCAGCTTATTCTGCTACTGATAATAAACAAGACTTATAATTAATCGATTTATTCATTTAGCAAATAAGATCAGTGCGCTGCCAGAATAGCCTGGCACCACGTCTTCATGCTAGTTACCAGCTTGGTCACACACTGCTGCAGGATAACATCCCATTCCTCACTTGGCGTTAGTTGCAATCAGCCAATGTGGTCGTGTTGGTCACTCTGGCACAAACACGTCTGCGTTGATCTAGTGAGTGAACTGTGGAGTTGAGTTTGGGAGCTGCTGGTAAGGCTTTTCCATCTTCCTCACTCCCAAAATCTGGAGGTTGTCTCTGATAAATCCTGCTCTCCTCAAAAGTATATTTGTAATATTAAGAATTAGAGCGGTAAGCATTTATAAAATATCTCTGGTTCTGTTTTAAATCGAATATTTTACATCTTTTGTTCTTTTGACTAGTTTTAAGCACCTTTATTGACGCTGCACTTGTACCAAACTGGCTCATTTTGCTGGTTCTGCCTTGCAGAGGAATATTTTTTGTGACTAAAGGCACCTTTGGCCAGCTGACCTGCGAGTGGCAGTATCTCTTTGAAGAATTCACAATGGACCCAAAGATTGTCGGTGGACGTCGACTTCGGATTGAAGCCAAGGTATGAACGTCATTTTTTTGTTCAGTTAAAAGTTCACAACATGCCCACATAAATCGAATTCCAACTCTGAACATACAGGAAAGAGTGAAATCAGTCTTCCATGCCAAAGAGTTTGGGAAGATCATAAACTTCAAAACGCCAGAGATTGCCCAGGTAAGCTGACGATCTTTAGGAGAACAGGCCAGCCGTGTTTAAGAGAATGGACTAAAACTCATCTATTCTGACTTCTAATTTCTTTTTCAGTGGGTTCTCAGCAAACTGGAGGATGCCAGAGATCGTTTGCCTAAATGCTAATGATGAAGAATTAGATGTGCTAAAAACACACATGATCTCTGTGTGTCAGTGCCTTTGCTCTTTACTGCATGCCTGATTTACGTCCCCACGTGTGTAAACGGTGCACAATTTCAATTTTTCTGTTGATTGACTGACTGCATGAAGTTAGGAGTGAAAGATTTAAACAGGAGTTATATTGTTAAACAAAAAAAAAAAGTGTTTCTGAATTACACAATTTCACCACAGAAATTAATTTCACCAAACTTTGCCACTGCTCTAATTGCACTCATTCTTTTTGCACAAATATAGTTTCATTGGTCTTTTTGACCAGAGCAACATTAATCCTCAAGTTTACCTTTACATTTTATAACGTTTAGTGTAAAAGGCCGGCGTGTTTTAAAGCCTTTTAGGTGTCTTTAGTTTTATTTTTCACCGTCGAATGCATCATGTCACTGAATTTATTCCTCTTTGTTATTAATTATGTTTTTATTTGTGTGAAAAATGTAGAAATATAATTGGAAGCATCCTAAATAACAGAGGCCAAATTATCAACCTTACATTCAGCATTGAAAGCTGTTAATTATTTACCAGATCATATAAAAGGGAATCAAAGTGTTACTGTAACATCATTATAAATCAGTGTTTTCCTTTTTCTTCTTCAAGGTTTACTTTTTTTTTTATAAACACATTTTCCAAGAATTAGTTGAGTTTTCAGATGCATGCTATTTTTATACTGTACTCTATCTGCTGTATGTTCATTTAACTTACTTTGATCACATCAAGTCTGTGGAATTCAGATGGTAATGTTGCTTTCATGTTTTTGTACTATATATATATATATAAATATATGCAATGCAACCTTTACAAAAGAAATATGCAGAGAAAAGTTTATTTAAAAATAAAGGAGTTCTAATTACAACTGGCTGCTATTTTCTCCAAGATTCAGGTTTCCTGCTGTCAGCGAATACCAAGAGTAAATATTTCTGATGCCATTCTTACTTTTATTCTTCCTCATTTGATTTCTTTTTGTTGTTGTTTTATTTTTTGAGAGGATTGTCCGAATGGTTGTTTTTTTTTTCATGCGGTTTTCACAGAGAAATAAAAAAATATTCGTCAGTTAAATTCTTAATTTCAGTGCCGTCTTTATTAATCTATAGTACCAAGAACATGTTTATGCTTTTCAGTTTTCACAACAGCATCAACAAAAGCTATTTTTATTGCTACTTAAATAAACAGGCCCAGCTTCTGTAAGTACATCTCAGATTATGTACACCTAAAAAAGATAAACGTTCTGAGTACATTGGCCTCTTTGCAGCAAAATCTGTGCCTAAAGAAGCTCTAAACGGGATTATGTTAGTTAAGGCCTCTTATATAATTTTGATTTATATTTTTAAAGAATATTATTCACACATCGGGTAAGTCGGTCAGTTACCTCTCTAGCATTCACGTTCTTATTACAGCTTTAAAGTAGCCTTTACAGCAGACCCGAAAAGAAAAGATAAACTTCATCTATACAAAGTTATGGTTCAGGCAAAATACCCGACACGAATCATTGTTTGTGCGTCGTGGGTTCCACCTGTTCAGCTAAATTGGACCTTGTGCTTTTGGGATAATATTTGATCCAGAAAATCTTTTACATGAGATATGGGTAAACGGTTGCATGGCATTTCCTCTAGTGGCAGCTACACCAGGTTGAAGTCCTTCAGATTGGCTGTGAGGATGGTGTCTTTCACGGCCACAAAGACAAAGCGGATGTTTTCGGTGTCCGTGGCGCAGGTGAAGTGGGAGTACAGCTTCTTGTCTTTGTTGGGATTTTGTTCTTGGTACATCTTGAGGATGAATTCTTGAGCTGCTCCTGGATCCTGCTGAGGCCCTGCAGAGGAGAGTCAAAGTGCTGATTAATTAAAAAAACAAAACAAAGCACCTTTAACTATGAGTGGAAGCATAATGTGGTTCTGAAAAACACAAGTTCTTGCAATTTAAAAGCACTTTCCTGACTCAAATGTGAGCATTGATTCATGCCGTCCACTAGCCAAACTGTCAGACTGGATTTAGTGATGAGTGAATAATAAATCTGACCTGTGAATTCAGGGAAGTAGGTGGCTAAGTGAGAGTATATGATCTTCTCCTTGAGGATGTCGGTCTTGTTGAGGAAAAGAATGACAGAAGACTTCTCGAACCAGGGGTAAGTGATGATGGTTTTGAACAGGGCTTTGCTCTCCTCCATGCGGTTCTAAAGGTGATACGACATCAGAAGGCATAAAACGTTATAAATGATGAAACCTAAATATGCTTTGTCGCTGGTTTTTAATGCAGATCATTAATAAAACACCAAAACAAACGTCTGGGGAAAAAGACGCCCTCTAAACTGGATATTTTTTTTCCCTTTAAATGATTGATGTAGCATTTGTTATTGCACCCTCTGGTTCTCTGCAGGAGTTTAGTGGAAGTAAACGTGTAAAGCAAAAACCATACTCTAACCCCAACCCTCTATCGGAAGCACAGTTTGCACCAGAAGTAGGGAAAATGTTTATCTTTTGTTTAAGAAAAAGACAAATACAGACTGAGAGGTAAGAATCCAGCGGAGCTGATTGAGAGGCTCTGCTGACAGATCAAACAGTGAGTCAACAGCCAGACCATCAATGTGACCACAGCTGTCATTTCTAAGCATAAAGTTAAGCTAATGGAAAGTAAGGAGGTGCATTTTTTATTGCACATTGTTCACTCTTATTTCTCGGGAGGATGTCATCTCATGCATTGATGTTCAAGTTTAGCATTCAAACAAATCTGTTTTTTTTTTGTTGTTTTTTTGACAGTTGGTTGTATAACATTTGTGAGCTGCAGAACTGAACTCGGCAGAAAAGAAAAAAAAAAGTTGCATAAATGTGTTAACGCCACTTTGCCTCAGGTAGGAGTCTCACCTCATTGTCACACTCTGCCAAGACCTGGTCGTACTCGCTGAGCGCCACCAGGAAAATGATGGAGGTGACGTTCTCAAAGCAGTGGATCCACTTTCTCCTCTCCGACCTCTGACCTCCAACATCCACCATCCTGCCAGATAACCAGCCATGGTGAGTACGCACAGCGACGGCCAACAGTGGAGAGAGAGGCATTGTAAATGACATTACCTAAAAATGACGTTCTCCATGTCAAAGGGATACTCAATTATTCCCGTTGTTGGCACTCGGACTCTGAGGATATCCTGGAGGTCTGGCAGGTAGGAAGGCTGGGAAATCCGATCCAGGTCGGTGAGATAGCTGAAATTATTCACATCAATGACATTATGAGCGGTTGAGCTAAAAAGAACCAGAGCAGGCTCTTTTTAAAATCCAGAAACCCGAACAGGGCACTGAGCAAGCATGAAGCTCTCAATACGATGACATATTTGATTTAAGAGCCGTTTCATGGAAACTTCTGGCAGAATCAACAGACGACAGCTTTGTTGTATTACAGAAGTGGGAATAGAGTACATTTTAGTTAACATATGATTTGCATTTCCAAAAATAAAAGCCCACTAAACAAAGAAAACAGTAGTTTTCTCTTTTCAACTCAATAGTCAGTTTAGAGAAAAGTTTTATTAGGAATAATTTCTGTTCCACTATGAGTGGGAGCTCATCTGCATGTTCTATTTAAAGCTCCTCTGTATATTTTAAAAACACGGGAACAAACATGACTCAGTTACGTGTGTGTGAATAAAGCAGCAGAGATCCGTCCTTCATTTTGTAAAGATCCAGCATTAGATGCCGTGGATGTGATTGTTTCGGGGTGAGCGCGCCAAAGCCAATAACAGAGAGTCAATAGTTTTATTTTGGTATGCTGCCATGGCAGAATTAGAAATTATGAGTAAAGTTTTTAGGAAAGCAAAAAATAGAGATATTCTATAGGATTTTTGTTTTAGTTCTCTGAATTAACATTTTTTGTTGCTACTAATATAAATCTTTAAAAATCAGAAAGCTGCATAAAAGCACAATATTTATTACCAGTCATTTTACAGAGAGAAATAAAAATATTTCAAGCTGTTATCATTTGCGTTTTTATGAAAACCCAAAATTCAGTATCTCGGAAGATTATCAATATAAACCAATCAAAATCTGATATTTTTAGGGAGGTACAGTTGAAACCAAAAGTTTACATACGTTATATAGAAAGACGCATATGGATATTTTTCATACTAACATGAAAACAGAGTAAACTTTTTTCGTTTTAGGTCAATTAAGATTACCAAGTTTTTGGGAAATTTGGTAGTCTTAAAAAGTTTATTTCATGTCAGACAGTGTGAAAAAGTTTACATACACTTTTTATAGAGTATGTAAATATCTGGTTTTAAATGTATTTATGTGTCAGTATGTTACGAGATCATCTGTGAAGAGATCGATCTCTTTGAGCTATTATTGCTGTCTGAAGAAATGCTCCACTCCTGACCAAAAACAACCAATCAGGGCCAGGAGGAGGGACTTAATGTTGTTAATCATCCTCATGTACTCACTGCCAAATGTGCTAATGGTGGAGAAACAACTCACTATTACAGGAAAACTGTTATCTACCATCATTGGTGGCTATGCTGACTAACTTCAGCATTTATGACTAAGAGAGCGGATGAGCAATGCCACATGGAGGGGTGATTGACAGCACTAAGACCCTCCTCCTGGCTCTGATTGGTTGTTTCTAGTTTGCACTGGGAGAGGACAGAAGAGCTAAAGTACGACAAAAATAAAATCTAAGTCGCCTGGTGTTTCCTGTCCTAAAGCCAAACGTAAAATTTGCAGAAACATAACAGCGGCCATTGTCTCCTCTTGGCTTAGCTTCATGTGCTGTAAGCAGCTGACAGGTGAAATTCTCACTATTTGGTGGAGTCGGACAGCTGGTACTCCCTGCGCCGGTCGTAGCAGTCCTGGATTCCAGCGTCGTTCCACAGGTTCCTGATAGCAACAACAAGGTTCTGATCCAACTCCTCCACCTTGTCCACCTCTACCTCCAGGACTGAGTTTGCATTGTTCTGCAACAAAGAGGAGGAATAATTGACTTATGTTGGATTTATATGAATAATATATGGGGGTTTTTTTGGGTTTTTTTAAGTCAAACTGGTTTCTAACCCACCTGGTTCTGCGGATCAGAGAAGGATATGCCGAGCGGCCCCATTGCTCGGATCATGGTCTGCATTGATGTGTAGATGTTCTGGAAGACCAGCTTGGCGTAACTCCTCTTGTCCTCGTCTGTGTACCCTCCTCCATGGATGATCCTCATCTGTTTGATAAAGGTGCTCTTTCCACTCTCACCCGTGCCTGTTGAGAGACAGAGGAGACATTTGACAATTTGTTTTATTTTGCCACTTTCGTTGAATTTTTGAATTTAGAAACTCAGATATAAGCTGCAAACCTCAGAAAACTCCTAATTTTCTCAACGTTTGGCCTCCAGTTTTAGAAAGTTGCCTCTTTGATTTACTAAAATGTTGAATTCAATTACAAAAGGTAAAACGTTCAGTAAGTAAATCTTTAAAATATCATAATATAATGAAAATTATCTTTTTTTGTTGTCCATGTCTTCAATAATTTAGCAGTTTATTAAGGTGTCAGGTATTGCCAACAATGTGTGCTAAACTGTTTTTTTTTATGGAAATGTTATTTTAGTAAATCTAAGAATATTATTCATAAGATATGTTGGTTCAGACTGAGCTCATTCATATCCTTGGAAATATGAGGGAAAAACATGAGAAATGAGAGACGAAGGTTTTATGAGCTCACAGTAAAAGAGAGCTTAGATGTTTAGATTTTTAAAAACTGTAAAGAAGTATTATTCTCAGGGTAGTGACCGTTTGTTTAAAGAGCCACAGTGCTCATAAATCTTGTAATAGATTTTATTTCCAAGAAACAATTGGGAACTCAGCAGAGTCTAATCCCAATCAAAACGGGGGGCAGCAAGAATTGTTGTAAAATTGTTCTTGGCTTACAGAAAGTAAGATTGTTAGTTTAAAAAAAAAGTCTGTATATTTATTGATATACTCAAACATCTACTGTATAAACATAAAATGCTCCAGCAGATTTAACCAAACTATTTGACCAATATTTTTCAAGAACTGATTAAGAACCGGTGTTTCATGGAGCTGACCAGGTTCTGGTGTGTGTGAGCCGAACTTCATAAATCTGACTTTCTTGGCTTTTCCTTCAGAAACTGTTTTTGTGTTTAATTTTCCCAACATATTTCTTCAGGCTGGAAGAAATATTCATGTTTTGAAGTGGCCCAGTTAGATTCATTATATTGAATCTCTGGTTGGACTGAATTTAAGAAGCAAAAGATATTCTAAAAAACGTAATTTTTTTAAACAACAAAAATCGAGACACCCTACGCCTGAACAGCCAGTAAAATTACTTTAGGGAGACCTTTTTTAGCTATTTACCAATCTCTTGACATCAATCTGCGAAATTATTGGCCGTTTCCTCGTTTTCAGCTGTGAGAGGTTCGAGGGGATTGTTTCCATTTCTTAGTTTTCAGACAGCCCTGGACAGATTTGCTGCTAACTCAACCAAAACTCAACCAACTCAACCAACCCTGCATGTCCTAATGCTTTCACATGACTATACATTTAAGAAATCTCTATCTCAAGTGTTACAGATAAGCTGTAGGGTACATTCAGGGGAGCACAAAGTAGAACATTTCCCTCTGAAATGAAGAGGAAAGAACATGTAAATACATCAAGTACAGCAGCTGACCCACATTTCACTGCCGCTCCACACACACAGCCGCTCTACAATCATAATAAAACGCTTGTCACTCACTGCGTTTCTGACCGTCTTGTTACCTAGTGCCAGGTTAAAATAAATAAATAATAATAATAATAATAAAAAAAAAAAAAACAGGTAAACAAGTTCTATGACAACGCTGGACTACTAATTTGTCCATGCGGGAATCTGCAGGCCAACGTGACAATTTGAATGCAGATTTGACTGCCAAAAAGGCACCAATCTGCTAATATTTGGGTGTAGGAAGTTGTAGTCGACTCGCGTCATTCGAGTTGCAGATGATTTGAATCTCAAGTAAGAAAGCTTTCAAGTGATTACGTAATACCAGACGACCTCAGCCGTCTTCTGTCATTGCAGAGTTTTTTTTTTTGTTTTTTTTTTTATGCTAAGGTCATGGGAAAGCGCCGCTACGTTTTCATAACAGGTCGGACTGGTTATTCCGATCCTCATAAACTCTAACACCTCTGGAAAGTGAAATGTTTTAAGTTCAGTCAAATTATTTATCCTCCACTGACCACTCACACTCAGCTTTTGTAACCTATGACAAAAATCAGCTTGATAACTTGCTTTGAATGCGGTCGCCATGGTTTCAGACAACTGGTGTCACTTCTGACTTTGGATACACCCTGAACGCTCAAACTCTTCGTCAGACGACTTGTTATCTGCGGATTCAGAAAGTTTTCCAAACAAAGTCCGTAACTGCTAACAAATTAGAATTTGTTCTAATATTTTTATTTAGATCAAGTGGATACTCGTCACCAATCAAATAAATTTAAAGATGAAAACTGCAGCGGATCTGAGTTTCTGTCTCTCAGAAGGTTCCAGAAGTTTCCACGTCTCGTGTTCTGCTTTGCATGGTGTCAGGAAAAGTCCACTCTTTACTTCTCAGCAAACAAACTTCAGCCAAATCTTCTGTATTTGAATGTACCTTGTTTACAAGTCAAGTTTCTTGGAGGCGAGGCAGACAAGGAGGCAAATTCAGATGCTGCTGCACTACTTACTCGATTCAGGATTAAACGAGCTTTTTAATCTGCTGCAGCTGGTCACCTGAATAACTGAGGAATGTGACAAGATCATTATTATTATTTTTAAATTAGCTGCTGAGTAAAATGTAAATTTAAAAAAATGGCTTGATTTAGAAGTAATTTACACATTTAGGTCGATTAAAAAAAACAAAACAAAACAAATAAAACTTTCAAAACAGATAACTAGTTAAGCCCAAAATTATTCTTGCCCCAGCCAGATTTAGATTTTAAATTATTTTTCTTTTAACCAATAGATAGTTTTCGAATTGGAAAACAGCCTATTCTCTCAAAACATAACAAAACAACATAAAAGGATTACACAGCCTGAAAAACAAACAAAAAAAGTATTTGCATTTTAATTAAAAAATGGTACAGAAAGCTCAGAGTTGAGCAGATAAATTGAATAATCTCCAGCAAGGTTTGTGATTCAAGGCAAAGATGGATCCGGCTGATAAGAGCCTTCACAGATGCAATAAATTAATATTTCCACCAGCAGAAAGCAAGAGGACACTCCTTGTGTTCACAAACTTCATTGCCTGCTGGGAAATTCAGCTTTTCTGCGCAGCTTAGTCAGAGATTTCATTAAAATATCCTCAACACCAGAAAAACCTCAGGCCTCTTCTTTTCTGCTTCTTCATCATTCTGGTGTAAATCTGGACCAGGACCTGCCGACAGTGGGGAGCTCATGAGAGTTTGATCAGATCAGAAAACTAAACAAACTCTTTAAGGTCCACTTGAATCAGGAGATTATATTTTAGCTTGTTCTGATACTTAAAAATGTTATTTTATCACCTCTGAACAGCTTAGGCTCGAAAGTCTTGCAGAAAAAAGTATTGAGCTACCTAGACGTGCTAAGAGATAACTTTAATCACCCAGTGTCTGCTAGTTGTTTCATTTTTAACCAAGAACCAACAGACAGATTGAAGCTTTTATCGAGGTTCTATGTTTAGAAATATCAACTAAATGCTGTTTCTATCCTGGGAAAATGACTGATACTGGGTTTCTTGATTGGACAACATAACAATAAAATAAAAACAGACTTTGCGCACAAAAAAAATGCTGATTCTTATCAGCTATTTTGCCTACATCTTTGGTAGACTTACTAAATTTACATTTTCACACATTTTCAGTGATTCTAAGGAACCAAACGAAGCAGCAAAACAATAAAGTCTCTACATCATTGAGCAGAAAGAGAAACATTGCTCAAGCTGCTCATCATCACAGAGAGCACTGGACACATTCTGCACAATAGGGTCATAAATGCACATTGTTAAAATCTATTAGCTCCTGAGGTCTTTAACTTTAATCTTTCAGGTAAACACAGTAACAATGGGAAAACAATAACATGCATTATTTCCAAAGCGCTCAGCAATCATAAATGTTTAAATGATTTTGAATTTATTGCACATTTGTTCTTCATGTGTTTGCTCTCAGCATTGGTGGGACTTTTGGAATCAAACACCAGATCCAGGTTGAGCCAAAAACCACAAAAACTAGGATGTTTTGTTGTGTCCAGTCAAAGTAAAGGGACCCAGACTAAAGGCAGCGTAAATTTAGATTAATATTTTCGACACTAAATGAGGACTAAACTAATTGCAGTTTCCCAGGGTGGCATTAGAAGAGGAGTGCATAAAAAAAAGAAAAGAAAAGAAATCTCAGCTTCAACCTGAATCAGTTTTTTATTGTATTTTTAGCATGTGCAGTCGGTGTGTTGAGTAAATGCAGTCGGCTTGCTGATGACATCCGAAGGAACAGGTTATCAGACTTTGCTTCACAGAATTGACATCCACGCCAACCTGAGGGAATTTTTTTAGATTTTGACTGGTTCCCAGACCGGTTTCCTGTTACAAAATATTCCATTTTTGTTTTTATTTTTTGGTTGAAGGAGGTGCTCACCCAGGCATCATTTATTAAACAACTGCCCTTGCTGACGGTCTGTTCTTTTTGAACCTACTTGCAGACTTATAAGGCTTAACGGATGACCATCCACATTGTTGCTGTTATTATTTTGCTTATTGTATTTATGAAGCAACAGGCTCTTATTTTATCCCGCAAAGTAGTAAAGCAACTAACAAAAAAGTTTGAAATTTTGAAACTCTTGAACTTTTCTAAAGAGGAACTTTTCTTCAGAAGCCATTTTCCCTGCAAATTAAAGTCGAAGGAGGCTGGTGCGTTTTGTGTGTTGGACCTAAAGCGCCCTGGCCTCTCTGTTGTTTTTGATGGTTGTGGTTCTGTGCAAGTTTAAGTGGAAAACACTGGTACGAATAGCAGATAGGAAACTCCCTCAGTGAGACAGAACTTGTAGTAAGGCTAAAATATGTGATGAATAATTTAAAGTGTAATACAATATTTAAGCTGAAATGTAATTGTGCTTGTTTGTGTTTTTTAGTGTGTGTGTGTGTGGGGGTGTGTGTGTGTGTGTGTGTGTATGCCTGCCTGACACAGTTTCCTAGTGAGTAAAACAGGACTTGTCCACATCCACCGACGTGCCTCGCAGCTGCACACACTTCCTCGACAGGGAAGCACGGTCAGTGTGAATGAGTAGCATTAACATACCAGAGATAAGAACTACTACTGGATTTTCTACATCATGCCTGCTGTGTTTTGTGCAAATGAAACTCGCCAGTCAGGTGGGACTTTCAGGCAAATGCAGGATGTAAAAGAAGAAGTCAGTACAACAAACTGATTTTTCTACAGTCCGAGCTGTGCCGTGGTCCAAGAACAAAAACGTCCCCTGATGTATGATTTACATAAATTCATCTGACAAAATATCAGTTGTGCCGCTCGACTTCTAGCAGCAACGGCCCGGCGGCTCACCGGGCCGAGGCCTTGCTGAAGTACAGGGATTAAAACAGAGATTTAAAACCCTGCTGCGGTTCACGACAACGGCGTTTGTGTAGATTCATCACTTATTTTTGGTTTGTGTTTTTGTTTTCTGCTATCTTGAAGTGAGTATTTAAATTTACCTGCACAAATAATGCCGATAGTCTTTTGAAATCATTAATGAAATTACAAATGTTCAAATTAGAGATGCTACATTTTCAGTTTTCACAGAGAACATAAAAAAAGAGGGCGAAAAAAGAAATGTTGCAATTGTTAATGACTGGTTATTTCATTTTCATTTATTGAAGTGTTTTGATTGATTATGTGATTTCACAGTTTCACATATGCAGTTGTTTTAATTTAGAGTATCATCTTATTTTTTGTGACCTTTGATGTTTTGTAGTTTTTTGTTTTAATTCAGTTCTGTCTTGAGCTGCAGCCGTCTTGTAAATGAGATTTTAAATTAAAACGTGTCCTTCATGATTAAATAAAAGCATAAAGTGTGACACTATAGTCCTTGCTGCAGTTGTCCTGGGTTTGATTCCTAGTGTCCAGCGATTTGCTCCTGTTCTCTTTCCTCCCTATTTCCTGTCAATTTGATGTTCAACAAAGACACTAGAGTCTAAAAAAATGTATACATTTAGATAGTTCATGTTTAATCAAGATTTTTTTTTATTATTATTTATTGAATACCACATTCTTCATGAAAGACTTTGTACATTTTTCTGTTGAATTTCATTTTTGTGAGATTTGCTCTTTCATCTGCGTTTTCTTTGCATTGCCCAGAATCTGGGCCGGAGCTCAACTTTTCGACCTTTGGCTTTTTCAGACACAAAGCCACTGAAATAAACTACTTCAGAGATGATTGTGTTGTTGTTGTTCTGCTTCACTCCGCTCGTGCTCTCTGTAGGCCTGTGACCATCTTAATGAAACCCACTGAGAGGTGACCAGAGTCAGTGGCCAGTTTAATGAGTGAAAATACAGGCAAGATGCTGAACAGTATGCACAACTTAGTATCTGTGTTCAATGTCCAAGGCAACAACTTCAGATGGCGAAAACATTGTTGTTGTTGTTGTTTTTTTTATCACAGTCATAATTGGTCATTGGTTTTTATTTTTTTACTAAATATCTAACCTGAAAAGTGGCCTAGAAAGATGTTTTTTTTTTTTTTTCCTGAAAGTTGTTCTTCCTGTTCCTCACATAGCTTGTCTGACCCCATCATGTTTCTTATTAATAGGCAGCACCTGTCAGTATCACAGAGGGATTTTTAGGCTGCCTTAAATCTGAAATATTATGATGTCTATTCATTTGTTGTTCAGCTGCCCAGGGCACCACTCTGCTTTAAGAGTTTGACCCTTTCCTCAACGAACAGTGGGTGCTAACTTGTGGCTCATGTTCTGCTCCGTGGCGGGATTTGCATGAGTTTTGCATGAGGCGCGCCCGCAGCAGCTAGTTATGGCTCCGATGCGCAGCATGGAGCGAGACGCCGGCAGGGTTGTGGTGGCTCTCAGCCTCTCCCACACCACTGCAGTAAAACGCAGCGAAACTGATGCAACAAGCCTGTTGTCTCTGTGACTATCGGGCTGCTTCCAAAGGCGCAAAAGAACAAACACTGTGATAAGACGTGGGAAAGTCAGAAGTGGACAAAGAGAGCAGTGTGCACGAATTGGAAGTAGCCTGATCACCAGCTGCACTATAAAAATGAATTTGGGACGGCATTAAATGTTTCATTTATTTAATCTTCCTTTTGCTTAAGTTTTCTGTGAGTTGAAATGTGAATGGAAATTTTATAAAATTTGTAAAAACTAAAAACTCATAAGATGTGGCTTGTTTTGCTGTTTTATCGACTGCTATTGCTAGCAAGCTGAGATCTCTGTGGAAGTTGCTAATCGTGTTGGAAAAAGTTTTTTGAAAGTTTATAATTATTTCAATAACATTTTAGAAATTAATCACACACCAGTTATTTTCTTTTTGTTCTTCACATTGGAGGACAGGTCACACTATAAAAAGAAACTTGGAAGGTATTAAATATAAGATCTTTTCTCAGATTTCAGATTAGTTAAATCTTAACAATATTACTATTTTGCTAAAATTGGACATTTTAAGTAGAATTTAACTCATAATGTTGATTATTACCGTCTGCTATTCTCATTTGTTCTCTGGGCTGACTAGCTTAGCGATGGCTAATCCTGAAGCAAAGCTAAGTAGCAAAACGAACTTAGTCAGGTGTTGCCAATAAGTGACACAAATGTCAACATGTGATTATCATTAAAAAAAAAGGTTCATACAATACCTAGTTACTACAGGTTGATGCATTTTAGATCTAATTCCTTAAGCACAAAGTAATTTCTTTTTAACATGGGAGAATAAATCAGTTGAGCATAATGATACAACTTAATACTTTCAAACTGGCTAAGCAGAATGAGTCGATCTTCTAAATCAGTTGAAGTTTTTATCTTTTAGCCAGTTGTTAAACTTACAAAATGTACTTTTAGAAATATTAAAATCTAACCAAATGATATCTATGTGCATTGTTTATGAAACTCTTACAGTTGTTATAACCGGATGCATCACATTAAGACATATTTGCAAACATTTCCATAAATTACATTGAATCCCAACCATAAGTATATTTTCTCCAGTGATAATATTAATATGAAATTATTTGTATATACTGGCTATTCCTTGGTCTGACCTATTTTCCTAATTGGCCATTGGCTTTCCAGCTAAGTTCACTCCAGGAAAAGATAACAGCTCATCCACGTTTCTCCACTTCCTTCCGCAAAACTAAAATTCTCCCAACACGCAGACCCAACCTAGTAGAAGCTTAAAAAGTGTTTTTTTAATTTCTTTTTTAAATAGACCTTTCTCTCAGTCTATACGTCTTCTCCATTAAGAATAGATAAAAAAAAAACATGGTGCGTAAATCTATGACACAGTAATTACGCAGAGCCGCGAGCGTTTTAAGCAGTAGAAAAATACGGCAGAACCAAAAAGGAGTTAACCCAATCATTTTACGGCTACATATATTAATTTATTAACCCACTAATCATCTTAAAACTGACTTTGGATTTGGTGAAAGCTTTAAGTTCTAATAAACTGATATAGTTCATCCAATTAAGCGCGTTTCTAGAAGCAGCTTAATTGTGTTTTCGTGTGTTTGTTCCTCTGGCCCAACTTTCCATGAAAATCTGCGTGTGCAGGTGCGGTCGGTCAGGAAGCCGTGATGGTAAACAATAAAAAAAAATAAAATAAAAACTTTTATAATTCACCGACCGTACGTCACACACACACGGGGAAGTTTTAATAAATCCACTTAAATAGGAACGTTGTCAACAATTTTTTAAAACTTTATTGGACTGAACTTTTATAGCCTGCAAATGAAACCGTGGCAGATTAAACCCTGATTTTTTTTATTTTTTTTCTGTCTGCGCCTCTGGTCGGGCCCCGGGCTCTCATCTGGGTGATGCTCACCTAACAGCAGCAGCTTCAGCTCCCTGCGGGAATCCTTCTTGTCCCTCCGCAGCTGCTCCTCTATCGCGTCGTTGATCCTCTTGGTCTCCCGGTCCTCCGCCGACACACAGCACCCAGCCATCCTCCCCAACAATGAGCCGCAGGCCCCTATGGTGGTGAACTGTCTGCGATCAAATTAGGGCGAAAAAAAAAAAAAAGCTTTGGAGTCTTTAAATAAGGTGGGTGGGGGGAAAAAAGCTCACACGCCTCACAGCTTCTAGCGGGAGGGAGAGTCCAGCATCATCAGAGGGAATGGATTTGATCCTTTATAAAAAAAACAAAATTATATATATATATATATCAGGTAAGAAATGTTATTGTTCTCCCAGATGTGTGTATAATCAGCGGATTAATTAGAAAATCCTTCTCATGGAGGAGCGTCTTCTTTGAGGTCCTTGTGGACAAAGTGCAGCGGTTGGTCTGAACCAGAGAGATGGCTGCTGAACTTTTTCCTGTCCAGTCAGGAGGGCGTGGCACTGGCCACAAATAGAAGAGGATAAATGGGAAGTGAGCCTTCACAGGCAGCAGACTTTCACCTGTGCCACCGCTGCGTGGAGAGTTCAGCGTGCTGTAGTGACAGCATAGACCCAGCAAGTCGTAAGCTATGTGTTAAAGACACAACTTTAATGCCTAACTTCATCTGATGAGACACAGAGGAGCAGACATTCTCCCCACAGCCACAGTAAAGGTGCAGGAGGACAGAGACAGTGGCTCGGCGCCACTTTTTAAATGAGAGGTCCTCAAATGGCCGCTAGGGGTCAGACTAGAAGAAGCGAGGAAATGAAGGAGAATCTGAGAATTTTGCCTTGAAGGAAACATCACGTTTCGATTTAAATTCTCTGGCAAATCGTAGATTCAGAATACAGAGCGACATTTCAAACATTCATTAGTGATAATTAGGATGATTTATTTTTTTTTACCATGAAACCAACGGCAGCATGTGAAAACTAAGAACATTCCCAAAGACCAACCATCAATCCTCTGCCAATGTCGACAGCTTTTAACAAAATGTTTCTCAAAGAAATTCAATATTTATGTTGAACAAAAATACCTTTTCCCTTAAGATGTAAAAATGCTTCAAAGTTCGGGAGAGCTTAAACCAACCAAAAAAATAAAATAAAAATAAATACAAATAACGTGTCAGAGACAGAGTTTAAGAGCAGTTCATGGGAACTTCTTTTTATTCAAACAGTTGTCAACACAAGGACCTGCTCTGAAACATACTGCAGGAAATCTGAACAGCAGAGGCCAAACGCGCGAAGTCTGCATCAGCAGCTTGCTTAAAGGGGAGGGGGTAAAAAAAAAAAAAAAAAAAAAAAAAAAAAAAAAGGGGGAAAACCTGCTCAGAAAGACGCGAACATGAAGAGATCGCTCATATTGATCACAGACTTCAATCACACTTTCACAAGAGCAATCCCGTTTTGTTACTTCGTGACGGTGTGTAAATAACACATGAACAGAACCGAGACCGTGGAGATGCACCGACACACCGGTCCATCTGCGTGATCCAACGGGGCTCAGGTAAGATCACGGTGTGTCCGCTCACACCCAGCACGGCGACAGGTTTTCACGTTAAGTAAGAGGGAAGCATTAAGAGCCACTTCACAAGAGCAGCGACACAAGTTTCTGAATTTCTTACCGAGGACTCGGCAGCGCTGACGAGTTGAAACCGGACGCCGGCTTTAGAGGCGAAGCTCCGGAAATACAGCCAATACTCCACCTGCACCACCCAACACACTTATTGGCACTTATTGGTGACGCTGGGTGAAAAACTTTGGAGGGCATCAATCTTTCTTTACAGTAGCATGACCTCACACACAAAATAAATAAATACAATTTACCCTTTATTCTATGTAGATTTATACAGAAGAGGAAAACAATCCAACATTAAGAAAATAAAGGCCAAAATTATTCATACCGTAGCTTTGAAGTGCTTTGGTTTTTCTAAGACGTCTCTTTTGACTGGAAGTAAAATTAACATTTTGGATTGGCCGAGCTAAAGTCTGGATTTGAGTGTGATCCAAGAATCTGTGGAGAGAGCTAAAGATTAGGGTGATGGTGAGGAGGCCACACACCTAATCGTCCCATCAGCAGACAGAAATGGTCAAAATTCTGGTGGAAATATGCAAAAAAACAAAAAACAAACAAACAGTGGGATAAGTCTGGTGTGATATTGCTAGAGTTTTTTCTATCAATTCTTGAGAAAGGTAAGCATATTATTTTTCATTAAGCCACTTTTTTTAATTAAAATGTAAATAGTGATTTGTTTTAGACAGTTTTGTTATATTTTTAGATGCCCAAATCATTTTCTGTCACATAGAAACCTCAAGGTTGAGATTTATGTAAATACATTTTTCCCTTATATTCAAACAAAATCACACTTCCTATTAACAGAAGCACAAACTTCTGTTATTTGTTTTCCGGACTATTCAGGAAAGTTTCATTATCGTTTCGACTGAGGTGTTAATATGACCTGAAAGAGGTCAATTTTTTCTTGGACACTCGTCAAAATGGGAAAGACAAGCAAACCCTCATCCTTCAAGTAAGGCAGATGTGTTCATTCTCCTAAGACAGGATTAGAGAATAAATATCGAAGTAAACCAGCTCAGATCTACAGTCAGAGCAATAATTTTAAAGTAAGTAAGATAAAAAAGAAGAAAAACAAGTCATTTTCTTAAGTGTGATTTTAAGCTTTGCCATAAAACATCTATTTATTTAAAAGCCTTTTATAAATCTGTGCCAGGAATGCCAATAAATGTAAAATGGTGCAAAATGCTAGATTTGGGCTGGCAATTAGCTGTGTAAAGTGTTTCTTTTAACAACATCTAAATCATCCAGAACATCCCCCCCCTTCCGTCCTCCCCAAAAAAGAGAGTGGCTTTTTATCTGCTGACGTGGTAAATGGATATCAAAATAAAGTTGAATGTGGCAATATACATAAAAAAAATAAAATAAAATGTCATTCTGCACGCCTCCATGCTGTTTTAATCCGTGCCAGGCAGTTCAATGCATCATAATGCACTGTGGTAGAAACATTTAAGACATGAATCAGATGCGACAACAGAAATGAACAGAAATGTGATTCCAGTTCGTTCATGATGTGCTTATAATATCCTGCTGTTACGTCACATGAGCTACAAATCAGAGCTGTTCCCAGAGCTTCTCACAGCGTGGAAAAACAAAACAAAACAAAACAAAAAAAACACCAAGCCAAAACAAAAATTACAACGAGACATTATCAGCTGCTTTAGCTTCACTTCTCACAAAAAAACAAGAACAAAAACAAAAAAAGAACAAGTGCCTTTGTAAGAGACTTCAGAGGCACAGCTTAATAATATAAGGCAATATGTACACATGAACTGTATTTTTCTCGTTTTATAAATTAAAAAAAAAAGAACCAATACTGTACATTCTAATGAAACTGTGTCGATCAAGATGAAAAAGTAGAAAAAAAAGAATTTGAAAAGAATCACTAAATGGTTCATTCTACTTACAATTTGGGTTTTTGTACATTAATTACTTGATTTCAACACTGACTTTGTCTCAGTATGCAGGAAAGTTTCCCAGAAAATTTAGTCGTCTTCAAAAACGCTTAAACTCAGGAGCTCTCCTGCCGTCCTTCTCAGCTTGGCTCCACCGTTCTGATCCTACGAAACATGTTGGCTATTAATGCGAAGGGGTGAGAAGCGTGTTCAGGACCACAGCATGTGCTGAGGAGGCTCTAAAGCTCATCAATACTTACTAAAAAGACTCCAGAATCAAAGAGTTAGGCGTCAGGAAAAAAAGCGCTCTGATCTGAAGCCTGCTAAGAGTTCGAATGTTAGAATGAATCGTGCAGATGTGATTCAGGTCGCCATTTCTCAAAGACGAGGATAGAAACTGTAAATTTAAGGAAACGGCTTCGATTAGCACTAATCTGATACTAATGTTCCACATTCTGAAGCTAAGCAATGTTTCGTTAATGAGAAATGAACACAACATAACACAAAAACAAGATTTCCCCCAGAAAGCTTGCTAAGCCCGGTGGTCGGGGCGCTCGGCAGTCATTCATCCAGCGATCCGTTGTGTTTCTGAGTTAAAAAAATGTTTAAAGTTGACAGAAAATCTCAAAATGTCACTTGATAATTATGTGTTATTGGAAGATTAATATCTGAACACCAATTACAAAGTCTTAAAAAAATGCAGATGTTTAAAAAAAACTTAAATAAATAAGCAATGCTAAGCCTGGTGGGGCACAAGCAAAGCCTGGTGGGCCGCCAGGCTTATAATACACTGGGGGAAACCCTGCAAAAATGTACATTCTCATCTGACAAATGAAAGGAAACAAAAGCAGAACCAGTAAATGAATTTTACCTCTTCTAAAAAACAAAACAAAAAAAAAAACGAGTTAGCCATTGGACAAACAATTACACAGATACACATTTTCAATACTGAACATTCAATCTGCCCAAAAAAGTAATGATTACAAAGCCAACAAAGATGCTGTCACATATATATATATATATATATATATATATATATATATATAGAGAGAGAGAGAGAGAGAGAGAGAGAGAGAGAGAGAGAGTGAGATGTATGTACAATGATTATAGCATTCATAATTGCACTATGCCTCAATAAATGTAAATTACAGGCTTATGTTTCAGGGAAATAATAAAAAAAAAAAATAGTCCAAAGTAAATTGAGTCGCATGTAAAGAGGTGCCAATTATAAACAAGAAGGGCTTTACTTTGGTACAAACTGCATATCAACACTGCCCTTTTTTTTTTTTTTTTTGCCTCTTTACGTAGCAACCAACCACATTTATTCTCCACTTCTAGTTCAGCTACAACAGTCTGGAAAGCCGGGCCGTGATTGGACACAGAGATACTGCTAAGCTGTGATTGGACTGGACGGTGAACACTTCATAACCTGCAGGACTCAGATGGTCGATCAACATGTCAGTCTGTTGCTCCTGCTCTTTTCTTTCCTCACCAGCATCCTTGTGCTCGAGTTGTTTTTGGCATCGGTAATAATTACAATTTGAAAGAAAAGCTTCGGTGTGGCACGCTTTAAAGGAAACACTTTTAGTAAATGTGTCAGAAATCGAGAGCCCCTCTCGTCCCGGCAGTCTGTGGAAGGCATCTTCAACACACCGTCGCTCAGGCGATTTCTCCTTCTTGTCCTGAACTTCACGTTTGTGTCCGAATAAGCAGGAAATGTGCTCAAATGGTACCAAAGCAATGTAACATTAGAACAAGAATAATGATTGAAGTCAATCAATATCAAATCAATCTCAAATAATTTAAAAATCACAGTTTATGGCAACATTACAAGAGACATGCCGACAAGATGCATTAAAAAAAAAGAAAAAAAAAGAGGCTATTGATAGGAGAGATGTTACATCACTTCCTGTTAAGCTAACGTTCATGGCGAACCTTTGGAGAGGATGATAGATGAGGAGGGTTACAAAAAGAAAGGTCGTTTATAAAAAGGCAGATGTGATGGAGCTCCTTAAATAGCAAAATGAAACCCCTCGCGCAAAAAGAGGTCAACAAAGGGCAAATAAATTAGTATTATGCAACCGTTAGATTTTGTTTTCCTTAGATAATTTGTAAGCGTGTATTTGTGTGTGTGAAAGCTATCTTTTCACAGATCGAGTCAGTCAGTGTTTCAGGGAGGAGCCGCACTCTACACCAGGTTGTACTCCTTCAGGTTGAGCTGCAGGATCGTGTCTTTGACGGCTGCAAAGACGAAGCGGATGTTCTCCGTGTCGGTGGCGCAGGTGAAGTGAGAGTAGATGATCTTATCACTGTCTGGATTCAGGTCCACAAACATCTTCAGGATGAACTCTCGAGCTGCTTGAGCGTCTCTCTGAGGTCCTGCAGAGGAAGGAAAACATCAGCAACCAGCTAGTAACGGATTAAATGCTTGTTTACGTCAGTGTTGCCAGTAGGTCTGTCATGACAACAAATTTTACTGGATGAGAAGCTGACCCAGAAATTACTGCGATATCATTGTTTTAAGACCCTATTATTATTAATACAATGTACATTGGTATTAATAGTATTATTAATACCAATGTACATTGGTACATTATTAATACCAATGTATTAATAATAGCATAATAATGCAAGTTTGCCGTTCCAAAGACAATAAACCTTTGTAAAGAATACTTCACACAGGAACTGGAAGATAGTTTAAACACGACAACCAAAAACAATAAATAAAACGTAAATAAAGACCACACACAACCGAAATCATAAATAAAATGTATTATGACATCCCTAAACAAAATTTCCCTTCAAAAAATATCAGAATGAAAATTATTGAGATCATTTTAATTCATCATGCAATTAATTGATTAATTGCTTAGTGGACTGGCTTAATTGATAGCGTGTTTCACATGGATATTCATTCTCTTGTTTTCTGGTTAGTTAAATCCTTTAGAGTAGTTTTTTTTTTCTTTTACATTTTTTTTAGTTGTCTTTTAAATTTTAATATACACCACTGAAGTTATACCAAGGCAGATCCAGTTAAACGTTTCTGCAGTACGATTGCCAGATTCCTGCCCTTTTTGACTTAGTCTCATGAACATTATCAATGAAGTACACCTACAAAAAACAGCTCCTACTCTAAACTTGTTCTCAGCTACAGTCAGAGCAACAATTTGACAGTTCAAACATCAGAGGATCCAACGATGTGCAGCAAAGAAACAACTCACAAACATAAACCTGCATTCTATCCAGCCACCAGCAGGGGGCAACAGCTGTTTGTCTAATCGTCCACAAGCAAACAAATGTTTCACTCCTGTAAATTATCACTTTCCAGCAAAATGTACCTTCTAAATGACTAGTTAGATACATGTTTGTATCTAATGCTCATCGTTGTGTATGTGGTTCTGTGTGGATCCAACAGGAGAAAAATATGCATTCAGCGTTACGGCTTCCAAGCTGAGCTGCACTGTGACCAACATGTCATCGAGTTGTTTCTGGTGTTATAACATGTTATTAGTTTCAAATATTTCATTTTAAAGGAAACTGGTAAGAATGGCTATATGAGCAAATAGCATGTGATGTTTTGATCGCTTCTTTTCAATACAGGATGTTTTCCATGAAAAAATTATGAAGTATAAAATATACAAAGTTCTCAGTCCTTAACATCTGCTTACTTTGAACAATGGACTGATGAGAGAAAGAAAGAAAGAAAGAAAGAAGGAAAGACAAAGAGAGAGAAAGAGACAGAGAGAGAGCAATACAAACTGAATAAGTGCTGAAAAACACATATTTCTGTATTTCCTTTCTTCATACTTCAAAATATTGATAGATTTCAGAGTTTTCCAGACCAAAAACCTAAAAAGTGAGAGTGTGCCTAATCTTCACATGAAGGCCCATCATTACCAACTTTCAAGCAGCTGAAAGTTGGTAAGTTGGTAGAAATGAGCTCTTTGGTGCGCTACTCACCGTCGTACTCCGGGAAGTAGTCGACCAGATGGGAGAACATGATCTTCTCCTCCAGCAGGTCTTTCTTGTTCAGGAACAAAATGACGGAGGAGTTTTGGAACCAGGGGTATGTGATTATTGTTCTAAACAAAGCTTTACTCTCCTCCATCCGGTTCTGCACATGGGCACGTGAAAGTGGGCGTGGTTTGGTGAAGGTGGGACAAAAACAAGGAGAAAGGGAGAGGAGGAGAGAGAGAGAGTTTAATTAAAGCGCAGTGTTCAAACTCATTAAGAAGAGACTGTAATAAATGTTTCAGTGCACTGAAGAGGGAGCAGGGAGGATGAGAGAAGAGAAGGATGGCTATGTTGGTTAGATACTCTATTTCAGTGATTAACCGAAAAGATGACGTTAAAAGACAACGGTCAGTTTGGAGGTAATTTAATTGGTTTTAACACCTTGACACAGATGTCAATAATGGCATAATAATGCAATATTCTCCTGGAGCGAGTCTCTTCCCCTTTCTTACAGAAACAAAACAAAATAATGTCCCCAAATCCCCCCAGAAATTTACCTCGTTATCAGACTCCACCAACACCTGGTCGTACTCGCTGAGGGCGACCAGGAACATGATGGATGTGACGTTCTCAAAACAGTGGATCCACTTCCTCCTCTCCGACCTCTGACCCCCGACGTCCACCATCCTGTCCCAGCCGAAGAGTCAGTTATCATCATCTTCATCATCATTAATCTTTCTCGCTATGACCGTCCTTTAGCAGTCCGTTCTACAGGGAATCTGTTTCAGATCTGACGCAGCACAGACTGCTACAGGAGATCCATTGTGTACCAGACAACATATTTGGTATTACTGAGTTTTTTTTGTTTTTTTTTTTAATGAATTTAGTTGAAGTAACTGTCGAAGCAAAAAAAGCTTTTCACGTTTCAGTTTTTCCTCGATAAATTAAGAACATTTACAGAATAATGTTGAAATATGAATGTCTACAAAGTTATATGGCTCCTCACCTGAATATGACGCTCTGGAGATCAAATGGATATTCGATAATGCCCGTGGTCGGGACTCGAACCCTCAACACGTCCTGCTGGGTGGGAAGATAGATTGGTTGGGCGATCCGGTCCAGTGAGTCCAGGTAACTACAGAGACACAGCAGAAAATGATTTCTCATTGCCATGGCATCTACAACAGAGCTCCAGCTCAAGCTGACGTCCTCCTCTACTCACTATTTAGTGGAGTCTGAGAGCTGGTACTCCCTCCTTCGATCATAACACTCCTGGATGCCGGGGTCTTTCCACAAGTTCTTGATGGCATCTATGTAAGGACTCTCCAACCTGGTGACCTTCTCTACGTCCACGTCTCTAACAATGTTGGCATTAGTCTAGTGGATGAAAAAACATTACTGAAAAACTGCTAAGACAAGACAGAAACACCTGTAAATGGTAAAAAAACAAAACAAAACAAAAAAACAAAACAAATGTGAATAAGAACACACACACAAAAGAGATTTCTACAAAAAGCCAGTGTCCTCATTATTACTAGTTCATATTTTCAATCACTTGGGACATTTTATTGGACCCCAGGCTCAGCATGCAGCTAATATCTGAAGCTGAAATCCCACAGAGGATTTTAAAGAAATTAAGCAGAAAGCGTTGCTGCCCCAGATTCCTGTCAAAAGTTTTCTGTGTTTGAGGGAGCAACATGCGGCTGACTGCCTGTCGAGGCCGTTTCTCTCACAGATTTAAACAAAAGAAGCCAGGAAATTTGCAAACCTCGTCATTGTTTTCACGTGCGTCTAGTAGAAAACCGTCTACAAAGTTACTGACGTATTATTACATAATGCCACTGTAATTTACTTGCCCAGTGGTTCATAAGACATAAATCAACATGAAATCCATTGAAAGAACCAATTAGAGCTGCGGCTAACGATTGTTTTAGTAAATTGATGAATCTGTTGATTATTCCAATAAAAAAAAAAGGTACGTACATCCTGCAGATAACCACTTAAGCTTTTTTAATACAATTATAAAATAATATATTAAAAGATACACATAAACAAATAATTCAAATCCTTTTTAAATAAGAAAATAGACATTTCATCGCTTAAAATGCGATAACATGGGATTCTTTCATCGTACGCTTCTAAATTGTTTTGGAGGCACAACTTTGTCACTAATATTAGCTGCGCCTGCCTTTTAAGCACTGTAAATGACCGGACACATGGCAAACATGATTGTCAGGTTTCATTTTCACTTCCCATGTGACGCAAGTACCATCCTTTGTCCCAGACAAGCACTTCCCGTTTTAGCACAGGAACACAAGTGAGCTGGAACCTGCAGCGCTATGAAAGAGAATTTACACCCGCGCAGTTTTCTTCTGGTTTTGCTTTTTGTCTCGCAATCAAATGTTTCAGATCACCGGAAAACATTTATTATCAGCACAGCATAACCTGAGTACATGTAAGAAGCAGTTTCCAAATAGTGATTTTAAATAAGCGAGTGCTTTGTGGAAAAGTGATTGTCTCCAAACCAAACAACCAATTGAGTCACTCTTTGTGACAACAACAGACATCAAGAGTTTGTGAAAACGAGATGCGTTTGCTTGATTTCAGTCAAACTGAAGGGTTTTCATTAATGAACGGTCTAGTGGAGATCACACCTCAGCATTTATACCAGATTGAGATTTCGATCTGGGTTTAATGGCCTGTAGGCTGCTTCATGTTGTCAGACACAAAACATTTTCTTAATCACAGTTTAGTTAATAATTTAACAATGGGAAGAATTTCACTTAGGACAAGGTTGTTTTAGTTCAATCTGGAGAGACTCAAACGGAGAAAGAAGGCGATTAAAAGAGTTTAATGACAAAATGAACATGAAAATAAAAAGTCCTTTGGCGTTCAGGCCCCGGCCGGGGACATCGAGCTGGACTTCGATGAGCTCGATGAACATTCCTGATGCAGCATAGGAATGTAGACCCCCCGGGGCCTGTACTGGTGGCGGCGGTTGGAGGAAGATGAGGCCTGAGAGCCGGGAGCAGAAGGTGGAGATGGGGTGGAGGTGGGTTGATCGCAGCTGGTGAGCAGAGGAGGCTATGGGTGAAGGTCCTTTTGAACTGAAGCCCAAACGATGATTGGCTGGAGCGAGGCTTGGTCCGCGCCGATAGGTCCAGGTTGCAGAGAGGCGGGCGCTGATTGATGAGGCAGGTGCGACTAGAGTCTTCCAGACTGAACTTTTGTCAAGACTCCATTTTTCCCTTAATAAATATTTGAAAACTTTTCACATTAACTCAGGTTATGACAAAAAGCCAAAAAACAGAAAAAGTCTGCAAATGGGCAAAGTTTTACTCTGCAACTGCATTGGGTAGCAATTGATAAGACTTTATATCTATATATGCCTAATTCACCTCAACAATTCTCCAAAACTGAGGCTTCAAATGTGGTTTTTATTTTCCATTTTCTGGTTAAATCCAATCATGTTAGGAGACACAAAGTGAAGAGCTGATGTAATTTCTGTCAGGTCAACAAAGCGAACACTATGTGAAGAATAAAGACAAAAAATATGTAAAAACTTGTAGAATATAATGTGAAATGAAGTGAAAGTGCACAAATTAGTTGCATTGTTTCTTAAGTTCAAGACTAATGGATAAGAATGCACACTAATAGGACAGAATACAGACGCAAGTGAGGAGATAAGTTGTCAAACCATAACAACAGAAACCCGGTACAATCCAAGTAATGTTCTTATGTCAAACCACCAAATAAAATTTGTTCATTTTAATTTTAGATTACATATAATTTTGGTCCAAAATTCAGATTTTTCCACTACATTTCCAGACTGCAGAGGAAACCTAAACACCAAGCAAATTTTAGCATCAAACACTTTAGTTCAGAGGTCAGTTTTTAATTAAGTTTTATCACATATTTTCAAAATACCACTAAAGACAACAACAACAACAATAACAAAAACTGCTGCAGCTCTCAATGTTACCAACATTCAGAGCTAGGCTTGGCATTATCCCAAGCCTAGAGGTTGGGATAATGCCAACCTCTAGGCTTGCCATTATCCCTCTCGTCACTCTCGCAGGGAACAAATGGCGAGTAAGAGGTCACTGTCCCCCCGCTCCCAAAGCTACAACTACAGGGGCAACTCAAGCCAAAGAGGAATCTGAGTAAAACCCAGCAGCTGAAATGACGGATAGAAAAAGTACACGGTGTTTGGTTTTCTCTGCTTCAATTTGTCCGTATGTGTGCATTGACTGTATGTGAGAGAAACAGAGACATGCACAAAGGGTGTGATGGAGCTCTGGAGAGCTACAAGGACACAGGAAGCGTAAAAATCAGCAGGAAGCTATTATGGATGGCTGCTCCAAATAAGATAGACTGCACTCTAAAAATATTCGGCTGCGCTCTGAAACACTTGGAGCGAACTTACTCACTTTATCCCAAACCCTTGTGACCTTTAATGACCACAGTCATTTCTGTTGTTTCTGCCCGTTTAAAAGGCTTGTGGGAAAAGATCTCAAATACCTTGCTGGAGTCTAATTGGTAGGAGATCTTCAGCGTCTCTGCAGCTCGGATCATAGCCTGCATGGACGTGAAGATGTTCTGATAGACGAGCTTGGTGAAACCCCGTTTGTCCTCATCGGAGTAACCGGCACCGTGGATGATCCTCATCTGCTTGATGAATGTGCTCTTCCCACTTTCACCAGTTCCTAAAAAGTTAGACAAGGAAGGAAAAAAAAAAGGACAGAGTTCGTTTACAGTGTATTTGCCGTACCGGGTTTTAAATGACGACAGAAACGGACAAAATTGAAACACTTAAGTAACATACGCCGAAACTGTACAGCATTCTCCCCAAAAGCGATAAGTAATTTTACTACTACTACACCTTATTAAATTTCCTTAATGTGCATATTAGCTCGTTTGCTGAGAAGCAACATGAATCATGCCTGTTTTCATTGGCTCTGGCAGTTTTTCCAGAAGAGTAAAAACAGTGTGGCACTAACTGCAGCCAGAGTGATGCGATTGTGTCCCTACTGAACTAAATGCAGCTGTGAACACATTCTTCAGTCGGCCTGGCCAGAGACAACTAAACCTGCATTAGGTTAGTGGTGAGAATGTAATCCTTCACGGACACATTGACGACGCAAAAGTGTTACTGGTAGGAATGCACAGACATAAAAATGTGGGCTGAAACATTATTGTTGCTATTGTAGCTAATAACCAACATTGACTCACATTATATACATTTCCCTACACATGGAAAAAGCTATTAATGTCCTTTTAAAAAGACGCCAGAGGAGGTGACATGTTTCCATTCTTGTATAGAGCATAAAGTAACAGATTTTTTTTTTTTTTTTTTGCTTATGATTTACTTCAACCGAAGAAGCCCTTCGCTTCAGTTTGTGTTTAAATATGAAACAAAAAGATTCTGACTTATTAGCAGTAGTGGTGACTATAAACATGTACATTCATTTCTCCTCATGTCTTTCTTGCCCCCCAAAAAACATTGAAGTAGGAACATAAGTTGACAAATACCAAACAAGTTAGCTGTGAGTGACGATACTGAAGCTAGTGCAACTAATAGAGAAAATGTACCTCATTTGTAAATAATGACTAGTTGTGATAAAACTGTACTTCAATTTATCAGTGCTAAAAACAATATGCATGGGAATCAAGCTCCTACTTTTCTGTGCCAAAACATTGAATAAAACAAAAACACAAATCAATATGCCCACATGTACAGTGTTTGGTCTCAAACCTGCAGCATGTGCTCACTCACTTCTACAGTCTCACATGTGTGGGTTTCTTTTTTCCGGTCTGCTTGCTCTGGTGACAGACCAAGAGCAACACTCTCCCCTGAGTGATGACAGGAAGTATTTGGGTGTGAAGACGTGGGGATGAGTTTGAAAGGTTGCACTCGTTTGCATTGTATCTTCATGCCTTAAATAAGTATTTGTAACACTTGAAATTCACATTTTTCCATGTTACAACCACAAATGTCAATGTATTTCATAGGGAGACAGACGAAAACAAAATAGCACAGAGGTGACATGTGAGGCATGTGATTTGGAGCATCCAGGTACACGCTTTGCATATCATTGATCTACGTCAGCAGGTTTATTCATTATTCTTTACAACACAGCTGAAGCTCAGGCGGACTGAATGGAAAGCATCTGAACAGCCATTTAAGTTTTGCTACAACTGACTGGTTTCAATCTAACAACACTTTTTGATCCAAAAGCATGGTTGACCTGGTGTGTGTTTTGGGTCATTATTTCACACCAGAGGGAATTTTTTTAGAAAGCATTTGACTTCTGAAGACAGATTTTATTATCTGTATAAATGGGACTGAATACAAATCCACGACAAACGTTCAAAAATTATGGATTACTTTGTTTTGATAACATAAAATCCCAGTGGAGAGGATTTTGGTTGTAATGTGAACAAACATGAAAACAATGATACTTTTGCAAGACGTTGCATGCCAATTTAAGCCATATTAACTTCTGTGGAATAAACAACAAGCATCAGTCCAAATCTGCTGCCCAGCGCTATTATCGTAAAGTGAAAATGGTCTTCCCATCATACGATAGTTAATTTAGAAGCCAGACAAAAACATCGTGAAGTGGTCAATAGCCAAGCCCTCCAGCCTGAAGGCTGCTGCAGAACACCAAGCACCAAAAACAGCCTACCCTATTATTACATCTCCCACTTTTGGTGGTCAGGCACACCCCAGCACAATTTGATGCCCAAACTGCCACCCATGTTAAACCCCACACTCCTGCCACTCTTTGCATATTCATCCCACAGACTAGGATGATTTGCTCATGTGGCAGCTCAGTTTATCCACCTCAACAATGGCTGAAAATGAATAAGAAGGTGGGGGCCATAACTGAGACATCCCTGCTGGGGTTGACCTGGCTCTACTTTGGTGACAGGGAATAATAGTCAGAAGTCATGCCTCTCTATACTTCATAAGATGTCAGGACTTTTAAGCATTTTCTGTTTCAGGTAATAATTCTGAATTATTGCTAATCTTTCTACTAGTGGAACAGGAATAAATACTTTCTATTCGTCAAAGGCATTACTTGGCAAATGCTTGAATAAAAACAAATACAACTCATTTAAACAACACATCCAAATGCTAGTAAGTAAAACTTGAACACAGAGGAATGAACAGTAAAACCCAGCATTTCAATGAACTGGCTCTGCAATAAATCAGTCAAAAGAAAGAATTAAAAAAAAAAGTTAACTCTGTGTACATTGCATTAAACTGGAGTAAGTTAATCTGGGTCAGTGTTTCTTAACCCTTGTTCTCATAGTCAATTATGCCTTAAATGTGTCTCTGTTCCACCACACCTGATTTAAAAGATTGAATTGCCTCCTCAGCTGCAATCAAGTGTTTCAGAGGCCTGTTAATAATTTATTTAAGTCAGGTGTGAGGCAGCAGGGAAACACCTAGTAGGTGCAGGACAGTGGGCCTGATGTCCAGCTGAACATAACCATTTCTAAAATCTGACTGGTGCGTCTCCAACCAAATAATATGGATGACGTTTCATTCATACCTAAAAGGGAAAAAAAAACAAAACAAAACAAAACAAAAAAAAAAAAACCCAGCTAATTTGTGAAAACATTGCATAACATTACAAACATGTATAGTAGTCCTCGGATCATCTACACTCCCTTCTTAGTTGGAGCTGATGAATCCCAACTCTGAGTAAACATCATTTGTTCTACCCTGCCTATATAAGCAAATAGTTAACAATACATTGCTGATAAGTATTTTCCCCTCCTCCTCCAACACAAAGAGAAAATGGCAGAATTTGTTTTCCTGTAATAACAATTAAATGGGTCGGCAACATGAAAAAAAAAAATCACACTAGCTTTGTTTATTATACAAATTATAAAAATCATGACTTCGAAAGTAGTGCATTTATATAATAAAACAAAAAAAATAATTAAATGTTAAAAGTAGAACTAGTTTTGCAAAAGGTGGTGGAAAAAACTCCATGTTTCCTGAGCATAGAGTCAGGGCTAGAACATGCAAAGGGGGACTGAAAACAGAACCTTGTGGAACTCCACGTAAAAAAGAAGCAGAGGATGATGAAAAAAGTTTGACATTCCTAATTCTCGGCCATGTCGGATTTGAACTACTAATGTAAAATGCACCCACTGCTCTAAACAGGTAATTAAAATGGTTATCAATCTAAGCCAGATAAAACACATTAAAAACTCTTCAAAAGGCCAGATTCAGAGCTATAATCACATTTTGTATTTGACAGAAATAACATAATTTTACTGTAAGAACACAGAGCATTTCATCCATCTGTCAAACTTTGCGATGTAGCTGGTTTCGTCTTCCCATTGAAACAACTATGCATGTTAACAAGGTTAGACATTGAGCAGGGGAAAGTATTTTCTAACTAGTAGTAGTAAGGTGTGGCCTAGTGCAAAAAACAGTTCTTCCTCTGATGTGATCTCTTTTTGGTTGTAATAGTTACACTGGGTTGATAAATTGCAGTCTTTCTGACAAAATTCCTCAAAATAATTCAGGACTGTGGGATCTTAAAAGATCCTTTAACCATAACCAAGAGGAGCTGAAGTCTGAGATTACTTAGCCAGTGTAGCAGATGCTTCTGCTGGACAACAATGATAAAGCCTAAAAATGCTAAAGGTCACATTAGGTAGGAAGCAGAGATGAGAAAGGGGGGCGGGGGGGGAGAGAAAAGGTCTATATTGGAACTGATATCATTGGAATATTTACAAATATCGCCATCAAAAGATTTTCTAATATCATGCAGCCTGAACAGACCCGGAATTAATCCATTTTTGACATTCAGCAGCTATGATGACAAGCCACAAGATTCAAGAATTTAACTCATTCAGATGGCGAAAAAGGAAATGAACAAACTGTGTGGGTTTGTGTGTCCACAGCATCAGTGTTTGTTCAATGCAGCAAACTCAAATTCATGTGTGAAAACAGAATAAATTCGCTGCATCGCCTCAAGCAGAGTTAACCTAAGAATATCATTCTACCCTCAGCTTTTAACTGTAATACTCTGTGTTCCCTTTGTACAAGCACTCGGTTTTCAGCAGCAATCCTGCCAAAAGCTTAGCAAAACCTGCAAAGTTCACATCTGACGAGAAAAGCCCTTTTCTGAAGAATTAAAAATTGCAAGCAAAAAAAAGTTACCCTCCTGCATAATCTGGCTAAACTCACAATTTAAATAATCGTTGCCCTGATTCTAAAACTCTAAACGTCAGAAGATTGATTTAAGTATTTCAACACAAAATAAAATGTCAGTTAAAAATCTAGTTTTACTTTCCCCTCTCATGAATCTGACAACACAGAGCAGCTCTTCAACTCAATAATAGGAAACGGTAATATATGAACTTCATCTTTTATTAAGCAGACTGTTGGGTTGTTTTAATTTTCACTTTCAGGAAGCCTCTCCTGGGACTAAAACCTACTCAACACTCAGTTTTAAACTATCGCTAGGAAAACTATCAGAGCTTTTAGACGTGTGAAGCATTTAACTTATCGAACATTTTTATTACTTTTAGAGGCTTTCTGTTGCCCTGCTGATCCAGCCGCTTTCATACAGGAATCATGTGACATTCGGTGTTCTTCCTCTCTCAGTGACAAACGTGTTTGTTGAAGGCTGGTTACACGCTGATGTGGACTTTGTTCAGCGATGGCCTTGACAAA